CCATCCTTTAGGGTAAGTGAGCAATTATTCTGAGAGGTTGAGCAATATTGCATGCCTTTGAAAGCGTGTATAAATTAAGCATGCATTTAGTAACCTTATATTTGAATTCCAATACTTGGATTTTCTATCCTGCAGAGCCAAACAAACCCTAAACCAAGTGATGAGTTGTATTTCTCACGATGGTCGTCTGACACCTTCTGGTGTTTATGTTGACATCAATCCAACTCTGATGGTTGTCATTTTCTATTAGGGGTTTTTAGATATTAGTCCCTTAAATCATAGGTGTTTTGTTATTAGTCCCCCAAATCTTCATATTTTGATATTAGTCTCCCAAATTACTTTAATGATATTAGGTGTTCTATTAGATTTACTGTTCAGAATCCTAAACCATGGTTGGTTAACACTAACTACGAGTGGAGAATTACCTTGTTACCCCTCCCCCCCCCTCTCTCACCTCCTTCTCCACCGCCATCTCCTCCGTCACTGTCAGGGACACAAGCTATCATTAGAGAAAAACTGAGGCAAGCACAAATTTAAGCAACAAAAGCACCAAACTTGTGGCCAAAGGAGTTGGTTGCTACTTGCTAGCAAAGTGAAGCAAACCTCTTGCACATTGGTCTCTCTCATAGTAGCAAAGCTTAGCTTTGCAATTATAATGATAGAGGAAGCTACATAGACCCATGAGAGGATAGTGGCAATGGTTGAAGGAATTGGGCCGGATTTTATGATGGCTGAGGGGCATGCTGTGGCCCACGGCGGTGCCAACGAGTAGGCCCATATTTGCCACCAAAGCTCTTTCGGTGGGCTTTTCAGCGCCAATTGAGTGTTTGGGGGATTTGTGAGGGTTGTTCATGGTTTTGGGAGTTAACGGGTTGGAGATTGAAAGAGAGGGAGGTTTTGCTGGTGGGTTTTTGGGATTTGAGAGGGTTTAATGAGAGGATGAGATTGATGTTAGAGTCGGGATCTTTGATGAGGATGAATATAGGGGTATAACTGTCCATTAAGGAAAAATGTTAAGGAAATGGAATATTCCTCATCCATTTTAACATTTAAAGCCAACTAGCTAGAGGGACTAATATCAATATATTAAGGTAATTTGGGGGACTAATATCAGATATGAAGATTTGAGGGACTAATATCAATATACCACTAATATCTAAAATCCCCTTTCTATATTATTATTTTTAGGTGTTCACATTCTGCTATTGTACTATACAGTAGTGATCTATTTGTTTTCATTTAGACTGTCTATTTTTTGCTTGTTGTAGTTCTCTGTATTGAAGTTTTTGCTCAGTAAACACATTGATAATACTTCGACTTCGTTGAATTTTAGACATACACTTGTAATTTTCTTGTATTTATACTCTGTTTTTTTGTTATCAAGTTTTTCTTTTGAGATATGTATAAACCTACTATGAGGAATTCTTGTTCCTAGCTTTATGCAGCCATGTTTTGTAAATTTTCCGACAGTTAAGCTTTAATACTTACGTAGAGCAACTCTTTTGTTCTTTTCCATGTGCAACTATTCATACATTTCTTATTTGTTCCTTCCATTTCCTATTTTATCTGATACATTATTTTCCCATCTTTCCTTGTCAAATTTTCGGAGTTCCGTATTCATCTTTTCCGGACCTCTTATTTTCTTGATTGCTATTATTCTCTCAAACATATGTAACATGATGCAATGTTGCATGGACACAGACATGAGGACACAGTACCATACACAAACCTAGTTCTAAAAAGTATAGGCAAACTAAAATTGTTATTCTTGCAAGAAAATTTCATAATAGTTTCAAAGCTTCTATTGATCTTAGATTTAAAATTTTGCACCTGCCTGAGCTGTTTGTGTTATATAGCGACGTGTATTGTGAAAGTTGAAGTTAATTACTCTTGAACGCTAGTGTTAAAGTTTCTGTACATCACAAATTTATACCCCTTAGGGAGTACACATGATATCATTAAATTATAACCCTCACAAACTGTTTGTGACAATTGATTTGTACGTGAAATTGTTCAGGGTGCTGGTAGTAGACCTGGGTTTGGCCGAGGAGGTGGTGGATATGGTGCCGGTTCTGCTCCTGCTCTTGAGTAGATGAAGGTTCTACTGCTCTTGGGTAGATAAGGTAGCGGTACAAATATATTCTCAGTAATTGTTCTCGACGCCAATGAGATTTTTGTCGGAATGCAAGCAGTATTAGAGTCTCTTTCTTGTTTGAGGTGAAAATTGCGAGATATAGTTTTTTCCCCCCGGGAATTATGTTGTTTAGTTGGACCAGGTTTGGGTGATACTTTTTGAACCCCGATTCAGCTTTGCTCTTTAAAAAATTGTTTATTTAGAATTTATACCCTGAGATATTCATGGTTCTTCACTTCCAAATTGTCTAGGTTCAGTTGAACTGTTGCAACAAATGTCTACTTTTTCCTACGAAAGAACGATTCTTGATTGTTTTGATTTTGTTCTTTACTTGCGTGTTCAGATAATTAGAAATTCTAGATGCCCTTTGGTGGGATTTCGATCTGTTAATTGGAGAGTATCAAATTCCTCATTTCACTGTCATACATAACAAATCCAATAGATGAGATTAGGCCACATATATGATTCCACTATTGTGAAAGTGGTTTTCAAATAAGAGTGGATTTCATAAACTAGTGGTTTTGTCTTGTGGTCTAATTTCGTCCATTGAATTGAAAAAAAAAATATTGAATTGAAAAAATATGGCAATTATTTGAGAAATTAGATGCTCTTTAATTACCGTCTAATTGGAGAGAATCGGGATCCCCTCTTAGATGTTTCGTTTCGCTGATTCTGCTGCAAGAGCATGCTTGGTTGCATGCATGCTGGATTTTTGGAATCATAGTATTTGAGCAAGACAAGTAAGCATTTGTATCGTGGAAAATCTCTTTACTGATGTTCTGCCTAGTGGGAAATAATTGATGAGTTTGTGTTTACAAAGATTTAAAATGTTACGACTATCAAGTAAATCATGACGTGGGATCAAAAAAAAAACTTTGAATACTACAAAAGTAAATCATAACAACAAAACTACTGCAATTGACAATGTTGCGATCAGTTCCCCCCGTAAGAAAGTCGTCGATGTTATCGAAGCATCTGATGTGAAAGACGAAGTGCCTGGAGGCGTGACCGTGGTTGCTGGTGGCGATCTGGGTGCTGGAGGCGGATCATCACAAGTTCCGAATGTGGCATTTGCCTACGATCACCACCCAAAAAATTTAAAAAAAAAATAAAAAACTCCACATTATGTCCATAAATAGTAATCGCTCATTTCATACACAACTATTAGCATGTTATATTACATAAATCACGTCACTTGATAAAGACCGATTCGTCATCCAAACCGAGGCCTAAAGTAATATCGTCTGAGGTTCAACCTTTTTATTATAGATGAATTGTTATATTATGTTTACTATTAATCCTTCGACAAATTGCTATATTTCCACCTTTTTATTGTAGATGAATCATAATTGTTCACTAGATAATAACAGATTAAGATTCAAAGAGTGAAGCGCGATGCATACACAAGAGATGGATTTGAATACGTTGTTGAAACCCAAATAACGCAAGCATTGAAATGAAGGGTTACCTTGCAATAGACAATGTTGTCACAGCCACAAACCATATGCCCATTAGCCGTATCCGTCGCTTGTGCGGCTCCACCTCCATCACTCTTCTGCATAAACAAACTCCAAGCTCAAAATATCCAAACATTCAAAATATACATCAAACTTTGAAAATAAGAAAATATTCTGCAATCATATAACGCATCAAATTACCGTGTAGAAATCAACAGCAATATAATTAGGCCAACGGTCGCCATCATCAGTGTGGCAAGTATTAAGCATGCTAACAAGTGCGGCTGAATTATCCTTACAAGCCTCCGTTGCATTAGGATTATCTGGAAAATAATTCATGAGCACGAGGGATTTTGATTTCGTATCCATAGGAGATGATTCTGCTCTATTCGGGCATTTTCCTGCCTTCATACCATCGCTGCCATCTGCAAATTACAATAGACGAGAAAATTATTCAGGTAGGGCACGATTCACGTCTATAAGAATCACCTTATTTATTATAGTGAATTATTGAATAAATTAAAATTTCGACAAAAGATTTAATAGAAAAAAAAAACAATGTGTTTCTTTAGGTGGGGAATAATTTCTAATGTTTATAATTGCTCCCAATATATTTATGTCCCCAATTTTATCATATCATACTTTTTTTTAAAACAAATAGTTTATTTTGAAAATCATATCCTTCCCAATATGTCTTTATACCTAGCAGCATGAAAACTGACTGATAACATGAAAACAGTTAGCCTCTATATGGTATAAAGAAATAGCTCTTCAAATTAATTTCAAATTGTGCTCATTTACACTCATGGCTATCAAAAGTTGTCATTATTTCTCAATTTTTATGAGTGCAACTTCCTTACATAGTTGAATATGATTCCATTAAATGTATCCTCCTGTAACCCAATTATCTTAGCTTTTAAATTAGAAAAAAAGGACAGAATAATGTTATTAAGGTAAAATGTTGTTTTGAATTGGGTCAAAGGAATAACGAAAGCTTACATTGATTCTCGACTATATAGTTCCATTCATAAGCAATCCCCTCTGAAGCTTGCTTTGCTTTTTTCGATGTGAACACTAGCAATCTTTGGTTCTTTTTTATCATATCGCTCAGCAAAGGCCAGTCTCCACCATTTCTAGGCATTTGAGACACTGGAAACCAGTATTTTGTGAGGCCTGAAGCGTTGAAGACTTTGCTCAGGCCATTTTTGGACTTGACATAATCTTCGATCATGATGGTGACGACTTCAGAAGGGTTTGATTCGAGGAAGGATTGGATTTCTTTCAGTGTATTGATGGCTGGTTGCTGTTTATGAAGAGGTACTAGCGTTAGTAGTAAGCTTCTCATGAGAAGACAATGAAAGTTCTGCGAGTGTCGAAATCTTACAAAGGCTGTGAAGTTGTAGCAGTTGCCTCCAAAAGAGTGGCATAACCAAATATCATTTTGGAAGTCATACATATCCAGCATTAGCCCCCTGACTCCATTCTGCATTTAAAGGAGGAAATAAATTGGAAAATTTTAGGCCAAGGAACACACTCTAGCAAAATAATCTTTGATATGAAATCTCTTAAAGTTAGAGAAAGTCACATTGTTAGCGTAGAAACGTTAAATTAACCTTAGTTTCAACTTCAAGGGATACTTGAATGCATTTTTGGGTTAATTTCACCAAAAAAAAAAACCCAGGGGGCCTTGCACATAGCGCTGAACTCTTTTTTACCTCAAAATGCCCCTTGAACTTAGGGGTGTCTCACAAATAACCCCTGAACCATCCAACTTTTGTCACTGAACCCTCCTATCTGTAATTAGCTAATAAGTAAAATGTCATCTAGAGGGGGGAAACAATCAAATTTAGTTATCCCCTCCCAATTGAGCGTTTTTTCTTTCCAAAAATGGTAGTTATTTGTCAATTACGGGGTGGACCATCCGCTAAGAAAAGTTTACAATTTAGGAGGTATTGTGAGAAACTCGAAAGTTCAATTGGTTTTGGGAGATTAAAAAAGAAGAAGTTTGGGGGGTTATGTGCAAAATCCCTTTCTAGTATGTCAATGTGCACTGAAGAATATGAATTCAAGAAAGAAAGCTAGATTTTTTTTTTTGCTAGACAGGACATAAAATAAAGTACACTCTTCTAGATGAACATCATTTTCTCTGAAGGGAAGGAAAGTATTCTGCCCTGAGCAGCTCTGTCCATGAATATATAATACAAAAGCTACAAAGATTAAGACTTTTAATCAGAATGCTTTCTTTTCCCTTCAACTAATGATCTAACCTTTTATGCCTAAAGCTGTCTCTTTAAAACTTTTAGAATTCAAAGTTTGAATGGTGTAGGCCATCTTCAAAATGTTAGGTAGATTTATAATGATTAAAATTCATGCGGGAAACTGCATTCATGCACCTGGCATAGGAAAATTTCTCATGTGTACATGGATTATAACAAGAGAGTGATACTTATTAATTGTTATATAAGTCACAGCCTCATTTTTTAATGTAACTAAAACGTTATCAAGATCATAGCAAGAAAATTATTTAATTAAGCTTCTGTATCGTACACACATCTAATATCAGTATCATGTTTCAACAAGCATAACATTTTACACATAATAATACACATGGTTTCTCAATTATATTGATTCATATTTAGTATAATTTAGCAGGATGTAACATGGTGTTTTGAAAATATTTTAAGGGAAAAACCCCCCCCCCCCCCCCCCCCCCCAAAAAAAAAAAAAAAAAAAAAAAAAAAAAACATGTGATGCTGCAGCTGGCATAGGAAAGTTCTCATGTGTACAGGGATTATAACAAAGAGAGTGATACTTATACAGGCTTTCAAATTTAAATTTTATTTCCTATTATTTTACTCCCAAAACTTGATTTGCATTTTTTGTATTCAACCTCGTTTTTCTTGGAAGTGTCATGCTAATGTCAGTTAGGTGACTTTATTATTCAAAATTATCAACTGGAAACAAACAAATCAAGCTGACATAAAAAATCATAAGCCACTGAAAATTCTAATGGGGCCATTTGGGGCATGACGTTTACTCCGATGCTGCCTAATAGAGACAGCTTGATTTCCCACCAGCGATGCATTCAACTCGGACTAATAAACAAAACAAAATAAAATATTGGACTAATTCTTAGTTTTAACGAGTTCTCTCTGTCTATTTAAATTCATGCAATAGTTATCTAGTGACTTCTCATGCTATCTATTTGATAGATAACCCTTATAAACCGATTATGTTTTGAACCACATTCCATCGATCAATACAGAACCAATTTGTCAGAGAATTAGATTAGGATCAATCCTAACCCAGTTTCGAGGAGTCTGGCGGACTAAAAAACCTTAGGCCATGGTGTACAAAAAAGCGTCCACATGCATGTTGCGGAAATCTCAAGCTTGTATAGCTAAAATCTATAGACAAAACGATTAACATAAATGGTATATAAGTTGGTGTGATACCGAGACCATTTTTATGTCTTGCAATAAATCTATCTAAAATTCTATGAATACCAAACATCTCAATTGCACAAAAATCTTTTTCCTCTAAAGAAGCACTTCACACTGAGTCTTTCCATAAAACAACTTTTCCATGAACAAAAAGAAAAAAAAGAACACCACCAAATACACTTGCGTGTCCGTTTCATCACCTACTCTCTCTTATTCAAAAAAAGGAAATAAATTCTGAATTTCCTATTCCAAGCGGCTAAATTGGGAAAAATCTAAAAAAAAAAGAAGCTCCACAGCTTCAAACCAAAGGCACGACATTTTCAGGCCCACTACGGCCCAATTCATTCCACCTGATAACGACAGGTAAACCACCAACGGTGTTTTCGAGTTCAAATTTCGCTCCTAATATTTCCTTTAAAAAAAACCGCTCCCCATAAATTTCCAAAAATCCCGCAAAAATACACAAAAAAATAGGCCCCGTGATTTAACGACACGTGTGCCTAGCAACGGAGCACTTCAACTTCCCAGAATTACAAATTTATAAAACCTGTGAACTTTTCACTGATACACTCTGTTTTTTTTTAATTCACATTTAAACACCCCGTTGTTTTTAAAAGTATCATATTGCAAATCACATGAAAATTAACTAATCCCTGGTCGTGTGTAAGGGGGTGTTTGTTTGCATGCAAGTGAAAGATGAAAGTAAGAAAGTTACTTTCATTTAACAATTAAGATGTTTGTTTTCATGTAAGTGGTTATAAAAATAAGATACAAGAAAGCTGCAACATATGATTTAGTGCAATTTTAACTTCTCCTAAAAAAGTAGCGAAGTCACGTGAAAGTGACAAAAAGTAACTAAATTTAATTAAATGGTTTTAATTATACTTTCTAATTAATCTTATTTTGTCACGTCACTCCACATTGCACTTTCGATAATAATTTGCAAGTGTAATTTTGTGAAGTCCAGAGATTCGGGGGGGTTTCGTGCCAACGCCTGAAAGTTGAGAGGAGATTTATGAAACTCTACCTTGAGCTGGGCGGTGACGGTATCCAGTTGATTCGTCGGAGCGAGCAGGCTCGAACCCGTCGCCGATTTCTCGCCCGTTACCGCAAACGAGTTATGCGTCGTCAGCCACGAATATTTATTAAATGGCAAATCCTTCCCCTGATCAAAAAAAACCAAACCCAATTTAGTAAGTGGGAAAAAAAAATGGACGGCTGGGATCGAAACCCGACCTTCGTTCTGGGATCGGTCGGCTGGATCTGGGTGCTGGCGCATTCTCCTCCGGCCTGAGAAACGTTGGATTCGTTAGAGAGAGAGGAAAATAGTTTTTCTTTCCATCTTAGTCCCTCCCAAATTTAGTATTTTGAAATTAGCCCCTCGTGTAAGAGGGGCTGATACAGAAATCGAGGAGAGAGAAAGAGACCTGGGCCGAGGCGGAGAGGAAGAGGAGAGAGAGTGAGAGAGCCGCTGTGTAGAGTTCCTGGAGAGAGAGAGGGGGTTAGAGAGAGAAAGAGGAAGGAGAGAGAGAGAGAGGAGGAGGAATATTTTAGAGTGTTTACCTTCATTTTTTTCCCTTTTGTTTTCTGCCCTCCTCGCTCTACTCTCTCTCTCTCTCTCTCAGTATTTATGAGAGTGGGAGGGGGAGAAGAAATCTAGGTCCGAGGGTGCAAGGTAGCGATCGCTGGAGCACGTTAATGAGTCGTAGTAAATACAATGCTGGAACACGTTAAGAAGTCGTATATAAATCCAATTCTTATAGCTTGAGATTGGGGGTGGAGAAACGAACCAAATAACTAAGAAATAATTCGTTAATTTTTCACGCAATTATTCCGTCACATTCAGTAGCTCCTTAGATAAATAGTTTTTAGCGTTTAGTTCACAGACGATAACCAGATGCATATTTGATTCGCTAACTGATATCTGACACGACCGACCAACGTAAATAATTCTTGCGGGGTGACGGGGAGCTTGTGCCTGCGGGATATCGTACCTGAAACTGAAAGGTGCGAATGGATGCTCTCTGTATCTAATGTCAGCATAAAAGCGCCATAAATGAGATGGGGAAAAAATTACTACAAAAACAACTGAAACAAAAGGAGTTACTGTGTTCTTAATCTCTGGACTGATGTGGGTATAAAGCCCAATAGCTTGGCCCAACTAACTTGTAGACGTTTTATTTCGTAAAATTAGATATTTAATTTCTTGACTTAAAGTGTTCTTAGTTTGGTAAGATCAGCTGATCAATTACCAACTTGTTGATCGCAAATATAAATATGTAGCATTTCTCACAGAAATTAGATAACAGGAAATACTTTCCGATCGTTTTTTTAAAAATTAAATACTGATCCCTCGCTTGCAATATGATTAGGGGATTAGTCAATTAGAATATTTTCGCATGAGATATTTTAATGGGATAACTGAGAGTAATTTTTGAAAGCGAGATATTTTAGTAAGACAGTTTGTTTGTATGGTTAGGAATAATTTGCGAAAATCAAAGTAATCTTAAATAACTATTGGTTAGACTATAACTTAGTATTATAATAAAATAGTAGTTTTTTTATTTTTTTGGAATTATTATTTTAATATAAATATAAAAGACATGGCTTTCCTATTTTCTTTTTTTTTTACGCTTTACCAAATATCTTTCCCTCATCACTAAATTTAAACTAATTCTTAAAATAAAGTATGAATTTGTTTTTTTTTATAGTTTAATTTTTTGGGGGTAAAATGGTCCTAGCCTTAATCTAAATTAAATATACGAATCTAATATTCAGTTAAAAAATAGACGAGTAAGAAGAGAGGGGATATATAATCTTATGGTGTCGTTTGAAGATTATGGAGAAATCTAATAAAGAAAATAACTCCTAAAATTTCTCAACGCAAGATCCTACCACATTCATGAAAAGATCCTAGCCGTTGATCGAACGGTCTAAAACCAAAGCCAACTGTTTTGAGTATGAAACCAAAGGCAACCGTTGCTTCTTATCAAAAAGCCAAAAAAAAGTTAGAAATTTTATTTTGGCTCCACAAGAGTTTCAAAATCAATGTTGGATTTCTCAAGCTGCAGCACATTAAGCAACCCATTTGGATTCTCTTCAGCATTTTCAAATCTTGATGCGATCGCCCACACTTTGCGTCACTGCGGCAAAATTCGCGCCATTAGCCGAGGCAAATCGCTCCATTCTCAGATAATCAAACATGGGTTATATAGCATTGTGTTCATTGCAAACAATTTGATGGGAATGTATTGTGATTTCAAGCTTTACAGTGATGCCCAAAAACTGTTTGATGAAATGCCTGAGAGAAATGTAGTCTCTTGGACTACGTCGATTTCAGCCCATATGCATGCAGGAAATCCCTATAAAGCACTAAAAGTATTTACCCAGATGTTAGATTTTGCATATGAAGAGCCTAACCGTTATACTTACTCGATCGTATTGAAGTCTTGTGCACTGGTGGGTGATCTTGAGATGGGGAAATGGATCCATGATCGAGTGTCGAGAAACACCCAGTTGAGATTTGATACTGTTTTGGTAAATGCAGTCCTTGATATGTATGTTAAGTGTGGGAGTTTGGAGGAAGCTCGTAAAGTTTTGGATGGGGATTGTCCATTGAATTCTACTTCGTGGAATACGATGATTTCTGGGTATATGAAATATGGGGATTTGATTGAGGCTGAGAATTTATTTATTCAAGTCTCTGAACCTGATGCTGTTTCTTTTAACACAATGATTGCAGGCTTTGCAAAGAGGGAGGATTCGATGGCGTTGGATTATGTTTATATGATGCATAAAGGAGGTATTAAGCTTGATAATTACACTTTTCCGAGTGCTTTAAAAATGTGTGGCTTCCTAAAATCCGAGAGGATGGGTGAGCAAATCCATGCCTACATCATTAAACCGGGTTTCATGTATAGTTCTTTTATTGGACCTTCACTTATTGATATGTACTCGAATTGTGGACGGATGAATGAAGCAACAAGGTTATGTGATGAGTATTCGACGTGTGTAGGATCTGTTTCTGATCAATTGGCATTATTAAATTCAATGGCTTCTGGGCTTGTTCTTAATGGTCGTGACAAATCTTCTCTTAATTTGGTTTCTAAGATTCACAACTCGGGTCTTGTTCTTGATGCATTTATGCTTTCCAGTGCTTTGAAGGCTTGTATTAATTTGCATAACATTAGACTTGGGCTTCAAGTTCATGGCTTCATAATCACTAATGGGTATCAATTAGATCAAATTGTGGGTAGCATTCTAATAAATTTGTATGCAATCTCTGGAAAGTTGGAAGATTCATTGACATTGTTTCGTAGTCTTCCTCATAAGGACAAAATTTCATGGACGGTACTAATTACCAATTGTGTTCAAAAAGAATCAATCCAATTAGCATTTTCTCTATTCAGACAAATGATATACCGTAAAATTGAAGCAGACCACTTTGTTATCTCAAGCATTCTCAAAGCTTGTGCTAGTCTACCATGGCTGCGAGGAGGAGAACAGGTACATTCTTTCTGCATTAGGGGTGGATTTGAATCAGATAACTTCATTCTTGCATCTCTTATCGATTTGTACTCAAAATGTGGCAATATTGATGATGGTCTCAAAGTATTCGAAAGTGTCACCCAAAAGGATACAGTTTGTTGGACAGGAATTATAGTGGGTTGCGGGTACAATGGAAGAGCAAAGGAAGCAATTGAGCTACTTCAAACTATGACTAATTCAGGTGAAGAGCCAAATAACATCACATTTCTTGGGGTTCTTTCTGCTTGTAGACATGCTGGTTTAGTTAAAGAAGCATGTGATATGTTTAATAGAATGAGAGAGAATCATGGGTTGGTTCCTAGTTTGGAGCATTATTGTGTTATGGTTGATATTTTAAGCCGAGATGGGAGGTTTGAGGAGGCAAAGAAGTTGCTATCAGATATGCCTTATGAGCCTGGTAAAAACATGTGGAACGCTATGCTTGGGGCTTCGATGACTCATCAGAATGCTGATCTCGGGAAACTTATAATTTTACCCTTTGATTCTTCAGGATATGCGACTATGGCAAATATTTATGCTAGATTGGGTATGTGGGAGCATGCAACTAAGTTGAGAGAGTTGATGAGAAGAGTTAGTCATAAGGAGTCTGGAAAAAGTTGGATTGAAGTCGGAAATTATAATAAATATGGATAAAGCATCTAATACCAATGACAATGTTGGCTTTCAATGTCTCCATTGTGGACAAGATATTGAGATTGAGAGAGAAATCTTTTACCAAGAGAATTGTCAACACCTTCAAGTGGTAAAAAGTGTTGATACAGACGACTCTGCGTCTAGTTTGGACTCCTAAAGTTTATCTGTGAAGTGAATCTGCAGGTAACTTATGCTTTATTTTATTTTCTTACTACTATTCTTAGGGAAAGTGGTTATTCTCTTCATTCATATAAGCTTACTATGGATATGGATTACATTTTGTCATGAGGTTGTGGTACTATCTGAAGGATCTGCTGGTGGGGGGTGCATATGAAATCACCCATGAACTGCAATATCTTATATTCTTGTGATTGACTTCACGCCATTTTTCCCTCTTCCTTTTGATGCATCCAATATAGTCATATATTGATTATATGCGGTTTTATTCATGACCAATCTCCTCCAATATTCAGTGTCTTGTGCAGTATTTCTGAAATTTAGAGTACCTCAGTATTCCAAACTTATGCTCTTTGTGCTGATCTTAAGAAATAGTGATATTATGTCCTGTACACAATTTGTTAAATTCGTCATAACCATCTTGGCCCAGAATTGGACCCGGGTCTCTCCTTTCGAAGTTCCTCCCTTTAAGTATCGCACAGTTTGTTAAACTCATCATAACTATCTTGGCCACAGTTCTTTAAACGAATGTATAACCCGTTACGGCATTCTGCAGACACTTATTTGTCTTAGCCAACTTGTTCTCTTCAAATATGCGAAACAACTAAATTTGAGCAAAGAAAACGACTCGAGTATCTATATTGATTTTCTTGAAGGTTGTTACAAGCTGTATATCCCTGTTAGAAAGTGATTCAGAACATTCGCAGCCTATTTAGCTGTGGGCGTTTTTCGCATCCTTTCACATGACACATGCTTAAAATGCTGTATAAGCTACCGTTTAAGTAAATATTTGAGACCTTTATTTGTTTTCCAAATTTCTGTTTTGTAATTTTAGCCTCATTTATTACATAATTCTTAAGTTACGAGTTTATTTAGTATGCGTGAATAATATTTCGCAGAGTGTGGAACTGTTGGAGCAGATAAAGGTGAATGATCCCTTCAGCTTATGCCAGAATAATGTGTGAGTACCATCCGTGCTAAACTTGGCATGGAGAGAGCTTATGCCAGAATAACTAGAATGACATTGACATTTTGTCGATGTGGTTTAGTTTGGCACGGGACTTTAATCAAGTTGAGACTTGGGAACGGATGAAGTTTTTTTCTTTTTTTGGCTGTCAACGAGGCGACGAGGGTATTCTCTGTCGCAGTTATCGTGTCTGCTGCGACTCTCTGGTGTCCACTAAGGCTGATGTCCGTCGAGGTGATCTAGCTAGTGGGTGTGATTATATTGTTCGATGTCAGGTCAGAAAAGAGAAATCCTCAGTCCAATCTGAGCAACTCGGTTCTTCCAGGAATGTTGGCGTATCTCATTTCGCATTTTCAAATTCCTGGCGACTGAGATGAAATCTCAAGGTACGCAGGGAGCAATAAATGGATAGGACTTCAGTGAAGTCTGGGTATCGCAATTCGCAACTATCTGTGCGTTTTGAGGGTTAAAAATCTGAGAAGCTTAGTAAGTATTCTAACTGAGAAGATTTAGCAGAATTGGAATTGTCTACTTTTACAAACTTCTGTAGCAAACATTTTCCATATTCTCTTGGCTCATGGGAACCAAATCACAAGCTATTTACCATCCGTGTAAGTTATGCATTCAAGCTCATGACAGCAGTGAGAAACACTAGCCCAGATCTCAACTAGATGCAGGTAGTGTAAGAAAAAGGAGATGTTCCCCAAAAAAATGGATCTCCTCCATTTTACAAGAATAATTGTGTTATTTACAAGATTACAATACACTTCCTATATAGCTCACACGGAAAACGCACCTTCATTAATCTATACAAGAAAAACATTTCTTTTTCAAATTAGGAGTTGGGGGCAGTTCCATTTTCTTGTACACTTTTATGTGTCGACTCATCAACTTTCTCTTTATTAGGAGGAATCCCTTCTGATTCATCATCACTCACATAAGGCAGCACAATTACAGGGGCAGCATGAATTGAAGCCCATCGTTCTCTTAGAAAACTCATAAACTTCATCACCATATCCTTTCGGAACTCCAGCTCCCGGGTGAAGAGGTCAAGGAGGCCGAAGGCAAGAACATACTTGAAAGGAATCACAAGGAGAACAATTGCAGAAGAGAGTAGCACGAGAGCAACTTCTGTTGTTATCTGCCACAACACGCAACAATAACATTAAGGCATTTGCTATTTTGCCACTCGAGAAATGAAATGAGTATATATGACTTATGTACACGTGAAATTTATATGTACCAGGTACGTGGAATGTTTCTAAAATTGTCCATGAAAGTGTAGGGACGAGTGCTAATTACTAAATTTATGAGATCTTTATTTCTGAGTTTTTTCATTTGAAATGGTGGCATGCACATGCTGGAGGCTTTTCTTTTTACTTTTGTAGCAATCGAAATATTTCAAGTAGATAACCAAAGCATGTGATATTTTCAAGCGATAACGTATGTTTATGATCAACCAATTGATAGTGTATTAGAAATACTACACTGACTAGTTAAGAAGGTGAAACAATGTAACACAGAACCATTCAAAAACTACAAAAGCCAATTTATAACCCTGGAAACAATTAGAATCAGCTTTATGCAGCTCGTTTGATAAAGTAATATAACAGTGATGGGTTCAGACTACTTGAACATCTGGGCCGCTGCTCTTTAAACTACTGACCACATCTGCTTATCACCATGAGACAGTAAATCTCCTCTTAGAAAAAGATCTCAGTACTCAAAAGCAATGATATTATATAACAAATCTCAAAGCTTTGTACCAACATACCTCAGGTTGACCCGATAAGACAACTGTCCGTATCTTAAGCAGTGACACATTTATGTTCTGTAGAAAATTTTCCATATCTGCCATGGCCTCTTTAAGAGCTATGATCTTCTGAATAGTGTTCGAAGGTGGTTGATCACGTATTGTGACTTTACCAAAAGATCTTCCCAATCGACCTTGTTCTTTAAGCCCCTTCAATAATAGCATGGTAATAGCCATGACCATCAGAGTTATTGGGAATATATACGATAGAAGATTCCTGGAAAAACCATTAAATGGTACAAATCAGCAATTCTATCCAAAAAAAGGGAAAAAAAATATCAGTTCAGTTTCATAGACCACCCAGTTGGCTATTGAAATTTTTAGCCAAAGGAAAGCAAAGGTTTTATTACCTAAATATTACAGTATATGCAAACAAAAGGAAAGATACGGTCCAGCGGGGTTCTTCCCAACGCCGAAGTTTGTCAAACCTTTTCGCAACAACCATGCAAGGAAGCATGAGTTCCTGAAGTAAAAACAAAGAAAATATATTATTTAACCAGGAAAAAAAATATAAGAAAAGGCTATTCTGAACTGCTAAAGTCCACAAAATTATGATTCTCAGCCAAACATGATAGTTGAGCCAAAATAGATTGAACATAAGAACATAGAATGTAGGTAACATCAATGCTTTTTCTTATCCAGATAAACAAGTAAAAAGACCTCTTGATAAACAAAGTGAACCATAAAAAGACAAAGGCATGTTTTCTGGGATCGGGCGAGTGTCAAACTTGTTGAGCATTTATGGTCAGTAAACATATCATCGAAACAGTTCAACATCATAGTAATAGGATCATGGACTTGCTTGAATAATTTTAACAGTACAGGTTGCATACGGGAAAAGTTATTAATGATAACCCGCAACTTATATATTAGTATATAGTCAAGCAATACTGGAGTTCTAACAAAAACTATAAGTCATTACATTAGAAAATGTTTATCAAGAACATGCTGACCATCTGCGAATTCCTTGAAAATATCAGTAGGAATCTGTAATATACTAATACAATAGCATGCCAGGTCTGCAATAATATCCAATAATTTGTGGGCAGATGAGCAGGATATATCTATAAACTTCAGTAGAGGTTGTATGAATGATTTAATACTGGTTTAAGCTTCTAACATACATCACATGATTTTCTGATTAAAGAGAAGCAATTGGAATAGAAATGATCACCTTGAAAAGGTCAATATTACTAGGAATTCCTTTGATCAGAGCCGCATCAATTGTTGCTTGAGTCGTCTCCACTATCTGGCTTCTCTCTTTGCATGTTAATGCTGCCCTTTCTATTAGGTTTAAATCAGCAACAACAAGATTTTTAGCTAATACAATCCCTTGCTTTGCTAACGAATTCTTCCAGAAGGAGACCGATGAACTAGATGACCATGTATGTGATCTCATCCACTTTCGCAAGTACACGCTCCCATCAATATCAAACACATGAACATTGCCTCCCGAGACTTCTTCAGTAGGCCTCACCCAGTTAGATGGTTTTTGGTTATCTTGTATTACCTTTGTCATCAAGGGCCCACCCCAAAAATTCACAGCTAGCGTCTGAAGAACAACATCACCATGGGGTACATTCCTCAAATATGAGAACTGAACCAATTTAGCTGGATCCTCGGACAGCTTTCTAATAAATTGAAGAGATTGTAACCTTGCAATACTGTTTGCTGCACTTTTAATAGCTTTTCTTTTTCCTCTGTTAGCACCATATACATGATGTATTGAGGGATCATCATCTTCCGGTCCATATTCATTTATGAACTTGTGCAATGACATAATCTCGCTGATGAAAGCATGCCAAACATCACGTCTCATTTCACCACCAAGATCAACAAATTCTAATACCCAAGGTTGTGACCTGTTCAAACTTGAAGGTTTTAGATCTACGACAGTCGGGCACAAGCAAACTATTGTACAACGGTATGAACAAATAAATTGAATGATACAGGAGCACAATGATAGTACTTAATAGAACATCAGTTGACTGCAGAACTGACAAGTATAATGAAGGTTAAGATATGAATTATGATTAGCACAACAAGAAAGAAAACTATAGGTAAAGCGATATTACTTACTCATCATCAGAGAAAACAGAAACTGCAGAGTCAAAAAGTTTGGACCCGAATGGTCCGACCTTTGCTTTCTCAACTCGGCAACTATTTCTTGTCAGATCCAATCTAATTGGCCCCTTTTCACCTTTCAGTCTGATTGCCTGCCAAGACCATTGTAAAGAGGAAATAGTTGGAGCAATAATTTGGCAGGATAACTTAAAAGAGCATTACGAGAATCGTCTTAAATGTGTGACGCTATACTAAAAGTACAAGGTAATTTAGGAAATTTAAGTTAAGCAAGCAAGCCTTTCTCTTTTCAACAGCCCAATGCAATACTCTCAAGAAACCCCATTCTCTGTGAAAAAGGGAAACTAAGAAGAGCTGAAAACCAAACAATAAACCATCTCCAAATTGTCTGAAACCTGACAACACTAGCTCTTATGGGTGGAAAGGAACCGCATAATATATAAAATGTTCGATTATTATTTGTCCAGATATTTGGTCATGTTCAACTCAATAGTTCATTCAATTGTAAACGAATATTTATTAGTATTCGGCTCATAAACGAATAAATTTTAACCAAAGGTATATTCAATTAGGTTGATTATTAAATATTCATTTATGTTTTACATTTTATTCCTCTAAGTTCAATTTATCGTAGAATATTTATCCTTTAAGAGTTGCACTTGAGATATTTACCAAGTAGACATATATCATAACAAAATATCTGTCAGAAATAAATTCTTATACAAATTTTAGCTTAGATTACGTTCTTAAGTTGCTAAAAAAGTTCGACAGAAAATGAATTCCTGTAGATCTAAAAACTATAATGAGATGTTTCATGCTTCTATATTATTGCATTATACTAATTTTTTATGTTAATATTACTATTGATAAATATATAATTTAATAATTTCAGTAGTAGATATTATAATAATCATTAAGTAATCATGCAACATGCAAAAACAAAACAAAACAAATAATACCAACATAGGATTCAAACACATGACCTTAAATTACTGAAGCAAATGCCTTAACCAAGTGTGCTAGCAAATATTTGTGAATATTTACCTAATAGCTAGTTAATATATCAAATCGAAATTGAACACCTTCTACCCATTTGACATGAATCCAAATTCGCTCAAGTAAACCCAATTCGAATTTAAAGGTATTCGGTCAAATTCGACTCATTTCCATCCCTACTAGCTACAATATTGTGTTACTGTTTTCTATATGAGACAAAATTGCTGCTTGATTATTGTGAATAAGCCATGGAAATATGGATCCCTCGTTCATGAAATTGAATTGCACAATCAATAGAGTAATCCTAACCCACAAGCACACAAATAACTACAATGTAAAAAAAGGAGAAAGGAAAAATAGTGGTAAGAACTTCAGTATGTTAAAAAGGGTGAAGAAAGCTAAAACAATTAAAATTGAGATAATACCTCAAAATATAATGCATTATCCGTCAAAGTCAGATTGCCAGGCCACGCAATATTATTCTCCCATTTTAGAACTGGTCGTTTTCTACTAGAGCCTATGCACAGAACTTGCTCATCGGACAACAAAATGTCTCCAGTCTGGTATGACTTTCTCCCCTGATGAACCCTGCCCTCACAACCAAACAAGTAATCAGAAATCATAGCTCAACATAACTGAATACGTCATATATCAAAGAAAGGAAGGGAACTGTTATTTAGTCTTTATCATGAAAAACCCGTCAAATACCAGATGACAGGTTTATCTATAACATTCTTGAGAAAAATGACAAACGGATTATGTACCACATATATAATAAATGGGGTTTCACCTGACTATAAGCTTGTGAAATTAGGCAACATACTCTGGATAAAAGCAACATACATTGCAAGGCCTATCATAATATCTATAAGAAATCGGTTGAGAGAGCCTTTTTTATCGAAGATGCGTCATTTGCAAGGAATCAAGCAGAAAAGAAGAAGAGGAATGAAAATTTATCATGTCTATTGGTTTTCATGTAGTTGTTGACTAAGTTCAATGTCCATAAGTTCCATCGACAAATATTTCAAGCACAATTTTCATCTGAATTCTATTCTTTCATGACTAAAACACAAAGTGCAATAGCACTATATATTTAGGTCTTCATGAGAAACATGCTCAATGCATAAGACAATCCTCAAAGAAGCAGAAATAAATTGAGTCAAGAAGAAAAATGGATATATTTATATATAGATATATGTATACATACATATGTTTTGCTACTATAAACTATATAATTCTGAAATTTAAATAATCAGATCTTACTTGATAAGTTCAGCAATGTATGTTGTCCACAAGCCTAAAGAAATTCCCTGTGCACCTCCAGCAAGGGCCTTATAAAGATGATGTGCTGTTGATATGTCAGCCACACCAGCAACAGCTGGAGCAATTCGAACAAAAGCCGCTTCTCCTACTAGTCTCGTCAGTCTCGTCTGTCAAATAATGAAGTGTCAAAGGTATTCAAGTACTCGTGAGCTACTTAAGACGTCTACAACTCACTTCTGAATAAACTATAATTTCGCTACCAACTCACTTCAAAATTAAAAGTAGGCTGTTAAATGAATACTCAGTCATATAATCACCTTAGAAAGAGAAAACATGGAATGATATAATAACAGCAAAATGAATGATTCACGGATAGATCAGAAGCTCCTATAATGATTTTTTAGTTAAGAGTACTTTCTATATTATATATGAGAGCAGGAGAAGAAATTACTACATAGACATATGGAGCTAAGAATAACGAAAAAGTTCAAGAAAGAAGCATGATATGTTTGATTATGGTGGTTACATCACTATGGATAAATTGGTAAACCAGCAGCTTAATGGTATCAGCAAAGAATTCTCCAAGGAAAGTATTGAATCTCTATGCACAATTTAGTTTCTTAGAAAGCAACCTGCAACGACGAATTCTCCAATGGCACATGTAAATCACCATCTTCACTGTAAGGGTGCTCCCACGCAAGCATCGTTATGAATATAAGTCTCTGGAAAGCAAGTTCCTGAAAAAACTTCCACTAAAGTAAAACATTTGAAACATAACTAAGATAATTAAAAAAATTCAGCCAAGTAAATTCAAGAAAGTTCATAATAACAAGAATACATAAATATGCTTAGAGACAATGAATAATCTTATCTCGCTAAAAATACTAACTATATTCTTGACCTCGTGATTGCTTAATAAAAGACTTGCCAGATGAAATCAGCTATTGGGATATCACAAAATCTTTAGATATATTTCTATATTTTTTGTAGTGTAAAATTCTCACAGCTTGATCATTAAAGTACCTCTTATTATGGTATTAATAAACTATGTGTTAAATGTTAATCAATTACAACAAAGTTTTCCAAGATTAGTTTACAATAAGTGAATGGAAGATATCCAAGTGGCAAGTCCAGAGTATAATTGTCTAGTAAAACATCATTTCTTTAAGCCTGCTTCTCACTGATGCAAATTCCTTCGGTCTACAAGAAACATGGTCGCTCCCTAAAGTGTAATGCTAATCAAGATTGCACCTGCTCATTATCCATGTGTAATTTCTCTATTATAACTAAATCAAATCTTGGAGGATAACCGAAGCATTAAGGGATGCGTTGGTCAACATGGAGTCAGCCAATCACCCAGTAGAGACATGTCCTTAACTGCTATTTTTTTTATTTTTATGTGGCAGTGCTATCCTTGTTGGAAGTAATAATAAGTAACTACAAATCAAATATGGCTACAAGAAAGAACCTTGATCAGTGATGGGACCAGAGATTTCATATTCTATAATAAATATTTCAAATAAAATCGTAGGTGGTCATTTGCAGATCCCTCTATCCTTCAGGAAGAGGTACATTCACCTAAGAGTTGCTTTCCCGCCTGATTGCTGATCAAACAGTAGGCAGACCCTGGTACCCGCTAAAGTGTCCAAATTCACTTCAGGTCCTTCATTACTAAATCTGAGAGAATTTATATAGGCCTCTCTCTACCCTTTAAACAATGCCACCTTCATCCATAATTGAAAGCTGAACAACCTTATGAGCAATTTTGAAGCTAATTGAGATAGCATCACACTACACATGTACTAACATGCTGACTTCTTTAGGAATCATTTGATTCATTTTCATTGAGATCCAACCGTTGTTTTGGCAGTTCTCTAGATTTCTTCCTTCATCCTGCCTTAAAACAAGACTTTGTGCTGGTGTTGGTGCCATTATTGTCTATTGTCAAACATATTGATTTCTATTACTGTGGTAGTTGAAAAGAAAGTAAAGAGAAGGCAAAATATTAGGAAAATAACGCATCAAATGTTGTACGGTACATTGGCAGGTTCATACACTCATATCTTTGAGCCCCTTCCTACTTTTTCCCCCTAGAAATTCAAGCTCCTTCCAAGCACTTCTTATAGAACATTCATACAAATATCTGATGCTCGTCAAAGTTCTTTTCATAAATGACTTACTTACATGGAGGCAATCAATTTTTCCATCGAACAAACAATGATTGATAAAATCTACATTATTTCCATTATCACTCGATCATGAATAAAGTAATGCAATGAGACAAGTTATAATGATAGATGGCAATACATATAAAACGAAGTCCTTTCACCAAGTGAAGGAAAATATAAGACAGTGGGGAGCATTGAAGTGCTAGCAAACCTTCAAGCTCGGATGGAAGTCAGAGCTATCCCTCGACAAATACCTAAAGCAGCAATACTCCACTAAGCTGCGTGCATCATTCCGCACTGAATCAGGGGCAAGAGCTTTGAAAATCTTCTGCATTTTCCTCCCTGTCAGTCCATTCATCCTGCACCACTCCTTCGACAAATCAGGGCACAATTCAGTTCACAAACCCAAAAAAATATACAACAATTTCATCATCAATTCAGACACTCCCATTTCTCAACTTATCACAATAAGGGCATAAACCCCAAGTGAGATTACCTCCCAAACTGCTCAATGGCAACTACAGCATCAAGGGAAAGATACCCACTAGGCGTCTTTCGATCAACGGTAAGCTCAGAAGCCATAAAAACCTCTTCTTTGACCGCAATATCCTCTAGCTCGTGCTGGATCGCAACCATTTTCCCTTGCCCAGGTTTCACCAGCGGCGCAGCTACATCGTTAATTAGGTTTTGGGCCTTCAACAGCCAAGAACTCAACCTCTCTTGAACCAGTTCTAACAGAACATGGGGTTAGCGTTAGCGTCAGGGTTAGGGTTTAGGGCAAGAAATTATTAGTAAGTGAGTGTGAGTTGGTATTCTTGAGGGGGTGAGCTTACCGGGATCGAGATCGGTGAGCTTCCATCGATCGCCAAGAGAGAAGAGGAGTTTGAGGCGGCGGTAACGGTGGTGGTGTGGTGACCGGCCGGCGGAGAACCGGACTCGAGAGAAGCTGTGGGACGTCAGCGGAGGCTGTAGAAGCATAACGATCCACTTTTTTAATTATTTTCTGATGATTTTTAGTGTAAATTTGGTAAAAGATCTCTCTTTTTCTCCTCCAATAATTTTTCCCCTTTTTATTTTTCTTTCGTTTTTTGGTCGGAGTCGATCGAGAGGGAGAGGAGGTCGGTGACGAGAAACTTCTACCATCAATCAGTACTCTCTCCGCTAAAATAAAAAAATAGTCTAAATAGTGACGTCTCTTTACACTTTGGTCTAAAAGATAAAATTGATGACATTTTGATATAAAAAGTGATAAAATGGTAATAGATAAATAAAAAATTTATCGCCGGAGTTATTTTTGAGCGAAAAATTAAAGAAATTTTACATGTAGACCGCTCAATCTCTCATGATTTTTGAATTAATTCATCACCTTTCCCTAAACTTTTGAAATTTGGTAAAAAAAACACCCTCTTTTTCACTATCTTCTCCCTCTTTCTTCCCACCATCTCCTCCATTCCCTTATTCTTCCTATACCTGAACCTTCCCTTCTCCCTCACTAGCTCTCCTTCTACCTTATTTCATGGATCGTCACTCTTACTTTCTAATTTCTTTATCTCCTCCGCTCTCTTTTACTCCAAACCCCTAACATCTCCTGTCTCTCCCATTCCTTCTTCCTCTCTCTCACTCTCTCTTCCTACTTGCCTCGCCCACTCTCAATCCTCAAAATTAAACATTGCACCGCAATCTTAACCTCATTCTTCTCTTCTTTTCTTGCACTCTATCCTCCTCCTTGCTTCTTGCTCCTTCATCCTCCAATCATTAAAAAACCAATCTCCTTAAGAATGATGATATATGAAAGAAATGACAGAGAATGGTGATGTTTGGAAAGAGAGAAAAAAATGAAAGAGATGACATTAAGGATGAGGGAAAAGATTGTGGGAAGGGAGGAAGAAAGGTGTTCTTTTTACAAATTTAAAACCTTGAGGGGTTAAATTAGAAAAATATGAGAAATTTGAAGGGTGTATATAAATATCTTTTAATTTTATTGCTTAAAATTATTTCCGGTGACCGAAAAAAGGCTTATTTATAGCCGCTTTGTCACTTTTTAGATTAAAATGTCGTCAATGCCACTTTTTAGGCCAAAGTAGTAAATGGGTGTCACTATTTAAGTCAATCTGATATTTTTGTCGTCCTCTTTTTATGGGCTGGGACTAGGGTCCATAAGAATAATGCCCAATTGATGTCAAAAGGTAACCAAATAACTTTCAATATTTTGGAGTAAACTCCCAATAACTTTTATAATTGTACTTAACCCTATTTACTTTTGCAGAAAAACCCTAATATCTCTTGGATAAATTACACTAAACCCCAATAACTTGCAGCATGTTTTTTGTGTGGTTTTTTGTTCTAATTTTTGGGTTATTTGCAAAACGCAAAAACTTATTAGTTTTTTTGTAATTCTAAAAAGTCATTAGGAGTTTAATGCAAAGTGATTTTGAAATTAATTAACGGAGGTTCACATTGAAACAATGAAAGTACCCATGCTACACAACATGAAAAGTTCTTGAGAGTTTAGTGTAATATACCCATGAAATCATACTTCATATTTTCCTTTTAAAAGCATGTGTTCGAGAAAATATTTTGGTAGACAAAAATAATCTTAGAATTCAAATACTAATCCTTTAATTAAGAGTAAGTTGATAAATTGATGAAATCTTATTGGATATACATAGTATGAAGATAATGATATAGTTTAAAGTGAAATGTAAACCTGTATGAAATTATTAGATGCCAAATTTATAAATGTATACAAGATGAATAGTGTATATGCAAAAACCAAATAAAAATTAACGAGACAAATAATGTATGCCCCAAAGGTCGAACCTAGGAACAACACAGAGTACATGATGCGGACGAGATATTTGCAAAATCCACCAAAAAAATTAAAGAGACAAAAGTCGTTCTCAAAATTAGAAAAAAAGAAAACTAAAAGAATTGGTTGCAATCTGAGGACACAACGTGATGATCTCTTGTTGACTAAAATTCAAGTAGTTTACGTCACTGCATATTAATTTCAAAGTTTAATTATACTATTATTATTTAAATAGAACTCTATTTACAATTATTATCCTCTCACATACAACATCACATATCAATATATATATAAGGCAATAAATTATAATAATTTCCATAGCACTTTCACCTCCTTCTATAGGTACATGCCTTTGTTATTTTCTTCTTATTGGGTTAGATTAGATTATTTTTAAGCAATTAATTATATTGTATATTTAATCTTTTTTCCATATCAAGAAATAGCAACAATTCTCACAGCACTTTTATCTATTTTCTTCTTATTAAATTAGATCAGATTATTTTAAAGCAATTAATTATATTGTTCATTTGATCTTTTTCGGATTAGAAATTGCAGCACTTTTCATAGCACTTTCATCTCCTCTCAACAGGTGTGTGTCTTTGTTATTTTCTTTTTATTATATTAGATTATTAGATTAGATTAGATTGTTTAAAAAGTATGAATTATAAATTATAATAATTTTCACATCACTTTCATCTATTTTCTTCTTATTAGATTAAATTAGATTGTTTTAAAATAATTAATTATATTGTATATTTGATCTTTTTTCATATCACAAAGTTTAATTATACTATTATTATTTAAATAGATTCTGTTTGTATAAAAGTCAAAGAGAATCTCACACATATCTTAGATCTCAATGCCAATTGTAATACGTACATATGAGTGTTGGTTAAAAGAAATTTTATGTATGGACTTAACTTATATGATCCTACTTTAACCAGACTAGATAATTTTAATTTTTTTTACACCCAAACTCTTTCACAAAACCAAAAGAGAGTAGCAATGCTATACCTATATATATCCACAGAACTACATATATCTTGAAAATGGACGAAGAAAACCACACAAACAAAAACCATATTAATTAACCCCACACACCCACTGTTTTTAAAACCACTTTTCTCCATCTCCATCTATAATATATCCACATACTCAAATTAAGTTGCTAGAGTTTTCCCCTCACCAACGACATCATTGGTAAACCCTCATTTTTTTGTACTTAAATTGTATAACATTCATTATGATGAGGACTCACCTGAGTCTTCTGCCTACCTCGAACGCCCAATAAAAAAATAATATACTAAGCCTTATACTTAGTTAATAATGAGATCATAAAAAATATGGCTTTTTATTTCTAGCCCCAAATGTTTACTTCACTTTATCTATAAACCCAATGACTATTTGTTGTATCTCTACACCCAAAGCCCTTATTATTATTATACAAATCTAAAAAATAAAACTATTCATATTTTCTTTTTTCTCACCCTACCAAAAATTACTCAGGGAAAAAATGATACAAGAAATGAATTCAAGCAAATGGAAATATGAATCCCTAGAACCATCCGATAATATCGATAGAATCCCTAGAATTCAAGCCCCCAGAGAAAGCGAAAGAAATCTTCCCCTGGACAATGGAAATATGAACTTCAAGATTCACAACTTAAAAAAACTTTTATGCGGGGGAAACCTCGTAATAAGGATATTACTCATGAACACCCCCTAAATACTCTTACAACATACAAAAAATGATACAAGAAATGAATCCAAGCAAATTCTCAGCATCACTCAATCACTGCCAATAAAATTACACAAAAATACAAACTTTGCCTCTAGACTGCAGCAAAGAACTCACTGCCTCAAGGACCTCCCAGGTTTTCTCGAGGGCTTACTGAAAGCACCAGAACCCAGTGAAGGAAATTCATCATCACCAAACTTAACTGGGCTCACAAATTTCTCTCCACTTGCTATTATTGACTGTTTCTTTTCACCTGTGCTCTTATCTGCAGAGCTCACATCGCTATAACCAGAAGCATTTCCATTTGAAGTCTGATCTCTTGGATTCCAACAATGCCTAGATGCTTGTGATGGTTGAGTCCTCTGTTGAGATTGCTTCTGTGAAAATGAAGGGAAATCATCATCAACAAACTGAACTGGACTAACAAACTTCTCTCCACTTGCTATTGACTGTTTCTTTTCGCTGGTGCTCTTATCTCCAGGGGTTCCGTTGCTAGAATGAGAAACATCTCCACTTGAATTCTGATCTCCCGAGCTCCAATTGCTAGAATGAGAACTAGTTTGTTGGGTTTGAGATGGAGGGGTCCTCTGTTGAGATTGTTGTTGCTTCGGCAGAGCTGAACTCACTGGGAGTGGAAGAGGCCGGAGATTCTGCAGCTCAGGATCAGGAGTGAATTCAAAAGGATGTTTAGCGTCGTCCATCTTTCTAAAAGTTATGGAGATCCTGCATGTTGGTCGTGACATAAATCGAGTCAGAATGTTCACGGATGAAATGTATGTTAATTTTGGACGTGACTGGTTAAAGTTTGATTAACAAAACCTCTTACCTCTTGGCAGGGACAGCAGGCACACAATGCTTAGCTACATCGGCACCATTGCCCTTTAAGATGAGCACAGACCTGGAACGGAAAAGTAGAGATATAAGGATCAAAAAGCAAACGGATTAAAAATATATTTGCCAGATAGCAACCAGACACCGACAGTATCTCTAGTTTGGTATGAAAGTATTCCCCAAGGAAATCTCGAGTTTCATAGCTTTTCATTGTAATAAACTAGAGCTAAGAAAACGTATCAGTATCATGAGATGCTATTCAGATTATTTATCTTATTTTATTTATTTGAGAAAAGAGATGCTATTTGGAGTTGGGTCATATGGAACAAAAACACACTCATGTTGACATGTTCAACATTTTGCCATTTGATTAACGCAAAGCTGCTTAAAGGCTTAAAAGCTATAAGTTTAACAACATTCCACGATGCAATTATGTGTGAGTTAATTTGTGATGTAATTCTATAAATATTTAGGGCAAAAGAAAGCACTTTTAAAATATATTCACATCAAAGAAGCAGAAAACAAAACTCAAATACAATTTGAACATTAATTAAAAACTTGATAAAGCAAGTACTTACCCTTTAGGTAGAGGAATAGCAGTGGAACCCGAAAATTCTCCCGGGCCAAGTATCTTCAGATCGGCACCAAATAATATATTGCATTCTGTTAGGAACGAGACTGTGCAAAAGGGCCGAACAAAGTCATGATGATCGATGTGAGGGGGAATACAGTCGTCTTTATCATAGATGTTGATGATGCAACTATTAGGAATGCATGTAGGAGGTAAAACGTGCCATTCCACCATCCTCTTGATCATTGATTTCAGAAGGGGAGGAATAGGGTCAACCTCCTCATCGCGAATAATGCCCGGTGGATTTCCATTCTTGTCCTACACGATTTTATGTTATTACAAGTAAGATGAAGCAGGTTGAGGACATTTGCAGGAGATTCACAAGGCATGAAAAATATAAAAAGTTAAAAACATACCATGGCATAGTTATAGCAGCATCCAAATTGTACGGTGACTCGCCCTTTGCCTCGCATCCACTTTCTCGGCTCTGAATATGTTCGTTCTGAAATAAAAAAATAAACCATATTACTTCATGTCAATTAAGAAAATAATACTAACACTTAATCAAGCAATTTTCTTTAAACCACATATTCAACATACGCACCACAAGATATATTGTGCAACCAGCTCAAGGAAACTTGTGGAAGTACTTAGTTCGTGGTGGCTTATATAATCACGATAAGTGGAGCTTGCTGCCATAACTTATTACCCTCCAAGACTACATTTATGAACCCCCAAATACTGTTTTCTTAGAGTAGCAGAAAGTGGCATATACTAAAGCTCGCGCACTAATGAAAACAAGATGCAAATATGTAAGATATTTATAGAAGCAAGGTTCTTGTCAAAATCAAACCAAAAATATATATTAACTAGCAGTAGCAATAAGTAAAATTGATAATTGAAGATCGCAAAACTGGTCTCCACTTTTCAATTTTTAGCACCCATACAGTATGAAGCAACATAGAGAATTTTAGACTTCTTAAACGAATAACAATTGTTTCTGCTGTAATTTAGTTGATCAACCAAAGGGGCTACCAAAGCTTACCTTTATTAAAATCTTTTACGCCTTTGTATTATTTAAGAACAATACAAATCCTACCAATGGGAACAGAAACCAGTAGGTCCACTGATTTCTTTGATACAATAAAGAATTAAATTCTTTGATGCAATAAAGAACTGAAATTTAACGAGCATTTTTTAACATCCTTAAAACTGCATATCCTAAAGATGTCATTATCCATACTAAAGCACTAATACAATACAACAATTATAGGAAATGTATGTAGATCTTTGGATGAAAAATCATATGTTCGAATCCCATGCAAATAAAATCTATCAAAGAATCAGAATATGTACCTCGAAGCATCCCTTTTCGGCCCTTCTCCTGAATATCATAAACATAATCCACGATCTTCTTCTGCTCCTCGACACTAAACACACCAGTATGAAGCTCAAGCCCTTCAAGAACATTAACCAACCTCCCTCTAACCCTCTCCATGCACCTAAAATCCTTCTTTCTCCTCACCATCGAAAACCCGCTGGGGACAGAGAGTGCCTTCTCCACATTCGCTGAACCATAACCACCACTCTCTTCTTCTTTCAAAGGTTTTACTGATCCATTGCTTCTTACATCGCTCCCATTGCTCCCTGTCGGGGACCGATACTGACGACTATGCTGCCCACGATGAAGGGCAAGACCGGAAGCCGGAGAGCTCCATGGCCCACTGCCGGAGCTGCTGCCCCTGCCGCCAGAGCCGCCAGAGATTGAAACTCCATGAATTTTCCCTTCAATCAAATAAAAAATGAAATTTTTAGAAGATAATCAACAAGGGCTTATATAGGTAAAGCTTAAAAAACAGGAAAGATTCCTACATGCAGCAATAGTTGCAAGTGAATGGAAAATAATTGAGACCCATAAAGCTCCCAATCAATCATATTTGAAAAAAAAGAACTTTTTACAGGATAATCAATCAAGGGATATCACATAGCAATTGAATCCCCACCAAAGACAACAAATTTCAATAGGTTTATACAAGGAGAAGCTTAAAGAACATCAAAGAACCCTAAAAACAGTAGCATGAGGACCCCAAAAAAAGGAGGAATTGATACCCCATGAAGATTTCAATCAAATAGAAAAAAGAGGATTTTTTGATCAAATAATCCATGTGGGTTTATTGCATGGCAATTGAATCCTAAAAGGGTCATATAAAAAAGCCCTAAAATAGAAAAATTTTGCATGAAAATCAAAGATAAAAAATACAGAAGGAGAAACTGAGGAAAAAAGAATAGATACCAGTGAGATCTTTGATTGTGGAAGTGGATTCAGGCGACGGGATCTTAGGAGCTGCCATTTAGATTTTGATGATCTCTTCGAGCTCTCTCTAGGGTCTATAAATAGAATAATTTGCTGAATTTGTTACTTATTTATTTATTTATAGAAGGAAAAAAAGGAATTTTTCTGTGGGCTCTGTTGGGTTTTTAGTCGGAACAGGAATCCTAATATCAATCGGAAACGGGTATCACGTGACCGTGCACGTGCAAATTGAGTTATAGAAAGACGAGAGAGGAACTTGGTTTTATACTAGCCCATTGAAAGGATATTTTAGGAATTTTACTATGTTTCTGTATAAATACATGTGTTCAGCCTACTGTATTTTGAAAGTTGGGTTCAAAGATAAATACAAAAAAAAAAAGGTGTAGAGATACAACAAATAGTCATTGGGTTTATAGATAAAGTGAAGTAACATTTGGGGCTAGAAATAAAAAGCTCTAATAATAATTGGAAAAAAATAATTTTTTTTAATTACTACAATAATATCTTATGGTCTAATGTATAGCTATTTAAAATTATTTAATATTAAAGAAAATATCTATTAATTAATAATATTAAGATTAACAATATATGAATAGTGGTTCTATCATCAAAAGGACAGACTTATATATTTTGATTGTTACAATTTATCAAAAACCATACAAACAATTGTCCTACTAAAATTTTCCCCTCCAAGAAATTATTCTAAATTATTGCACTGACATATCTCAGTTTATAAAATTTTATCCCGTAGTAATTCATCTCTTAGTTCTAGCGAAAATGTTTCGTTTGACTAACCTCTTGGAAAGTTAGGTGGTCTTTCTGAATTTACTTATTACTAGTGGCCGTTCGCACGACCTTCCTTTATTTTATCACTACAGCAATTCTATTTTTTAATTGCTACAATTTTTTTAAATGTCATAGCGTTTTTTGCATAAGATGTTGTAGTAATATTTTTTAAAATGTTACAACCTCTCATCTCTATTACAGTAATATATTTTAGGGCTTTTTGTTTTTAGACCCAATTTTTTACTCAGATTTATCTATAAACCCAACAACTTTCTTTTGTATCATTGAACCCAATTAACTTTATGTATTTGTCTCTAAACCCAAATAGTATAATTTAGAGTTAGGGTATCTTGTATTTATACATTTCTCAAGTAAAAATCCCAAAATGCCCTGCCCTCAATCTCCACAAAACCAGCTCTCTCTCCTCTCCGTTCTTTCTTTGCCCTTTTTATAACCGAAGAAAATGAAGAAACCCCCCTTCTTCCTTTGTTCTCTCTCTGTTCTCCATTCTTTCTTGATGCCCATCGGATCCCTTCTTCTCTCCTCTTTCAATTCCTCTACAACTAGTCCAATTTGAGTGGAAATCTGAGTCCTAGTTTAAGCCCTAACTTTTCCATTCTTTTCTTCACGCCACCACCGTCGCCATTGCCGACGTCGAGATCTTGAACTCCAGCCGCGATGCTGACAGGCGCCTGACTGCTACCATCGTCTGACCGCTGCCATTGCCCAACCGCCGCCGTCACATAAGACCGCCATTGCCTTACCGCTACTATCACCTAACACCGCCGTCACCTAACACTTCAACTAACGTCGTCATCTCCTTTAGTGTCTCAACTAGAGCGTATCCCCCTATAATGGTCAACCTGACAGACAGCGGCTCACTCTCAAGCCTCCACCCCCTTCTTTATAAGTAATCTCTCCTCAAAATTCTGTTTTCTAGTGATTGGTATTCTATCAGTGTGTGCTGCTACTTCTTTTTTTTATTTCAGTTTGCATCTTATTTGTTTAGTTTAGTTTTATTCTTTTTCCATAGAGTGGTTGTCCGTAGTATATGGTAGAATATGAATCCCTCATTCTTGCAGTTGATAAAATTTAGTGAAGAGATTTTATTTTGCCTAGAGATGTGAAATAGGTAAATATATGGTGATAGAGAGTATAGTTGATGGCATAAAGGTAGGTAGAAAGAGAAGAGGTAAAAATATCAATCAAATATGTAGCATTCATGGGATTGTAAATGCATATCACAGTACGTAAGTTTTTATAATATTGTGATTTTGTTTACACTTTTTACAAACATAATGGGGATGATAGCATATTTAACAAAAACTAACAGCTTCAATGTAAAAACTTGACATCTTGATGATTGTAATGTATTTCTATATGTGATTACTTGATTACCTATAATTTACGGTAGTTTACTGCCGAGTTTATATATAATTTAGACCATAGAGAAGTATTTTGAGATTAATGAAGAAAATGTTGCTGTAGATTAATTTGATATTGTATATATGTTTGTAAAGGATAGAAGATTTTATCATTATTCTTCTCTACGTGGATATATGTCTGATGCTAGTGAATTTAGAGTGAAGCTTATTTCTCCCATTCCCGATGCTTGGAATTTAGACATTACTTCTTGTCAGGAGGTAGAAAATGTTGACGTACCTCAACAACGTGGGTTAGTATATTCAATTTATTCATATGTTGTTTTTTTCATATGTGCTAATGCATAGCGACCATATATTGCGGGCCAAGAGTGTTATATTAATATTGCAAATATTTGAACTTGTAGTAGCTTGGATTGCGGAGTGTTCTTGATGGCATACATGTTTAGCCTCGTTTCCGGTCAAACTATTTCAATTGACCAAAAGGATTGTGCAAGACATAGAGCTCGTATCGTTGCTATATTTCTATATGAAAGTATATTTTCTATAAGTATAATGTTCATTGAACCGCTTTTAAACTCAACCTATTGTTCTTTTGATCCGCTTATATTTTGCTTTCAGGAAATCAACGTGATCCCCAAGACCAATTCCACGGATGCTAGATGCCAATTGTGATATCAAGTATTTTTTGTGTACATATATATGTTTGGAAAGTGATTTGTAAAGTCATTTGTATAAAACCTATGGGACTATTGTTGGGATTGGTTATGTAAAGTCATTTGTAAAGTCATTTTGTGCAATTAGCCACTGTGGTTAAATTACTGGTTATGTAGAGTTTTGTATGCTTCTAAGTCATTGAAATTGATGGTTTATTGTACGTAAAGTTCTATGGTTCAACGCACCAGCTACATAAAGTTTTTTCTCAAACAGAACACGATATTCTCTTACAGAGATCAGCGTGGTACACATAACCATAACAGAATAAAAGGAAGAAGAGAACATTCACACATAACCTGCTACATTTACAGGATAACCAGCTACACTTACAATATAACCCGCTACACTTACAGTCTAACATGCTACACTTACAGTCTAACCCGCTACACTTACAGGATAATCTGCTACACTTACAGCATAACCCGCTGCACTTACAGGATAACCCGCTACACTTACAGTCTAACCCGCTACACTTACACTCTAACCCGCTACACTTACAATATAACCCGCTACATTTACAGCATAACACGCTACACTTACAGGATAACCCGCTACGCTTACAGACTAACCCGCTACACTTACAGTCTAACCCGCTACACTTACACTCTAACCCGCTTCACTTACAATATAACCCGCTACATTTACAGCATAACACGCTACACTTACAGGATAACCCGCTACGCTTACAAACTAACATGCTACACTTACAGTCTAACCCGCTACACTTACAATATAACCCACTACACTTACAGTCTAACACGCTACACTTACAGCATAACACGCTACACTTACAGCATAACCCGCTACACTTACAGCATAACCCGCTACACTTACAAGATAACCCGCCATACTTACAGACTAACCCGCTACACTTACAGACTAACCTGCTACACTTACAGTCTAACCCGCTACACTTACAATATAACCCGCTACACTTACATTCTAACCCGCTACACTTACAGCATAACACGCTACACTTACAGGATAACCCGCTACACTTACAGCCTAACCCGCTACACTTACAGTCTATCTTTGATTTTATCCGATCACTCATTAATTCACATAATCTTTAATTAATTTCACATAATTTGATTTTAGATGTCTATCTTTGTAGAAATTTTCCTTAAATTTGTTTTATTTTTAATGACAAACATAGATGGATGAAGAATTGTATTATGCATTGATCCGCTACACTTACAATGTAACCCGCTACACTTACAGGATAACCCGCTACACTTACAGGATAACCCGCTATACTTATAATATAACCCGCTACACTTACAGGATAACCACCTATACTTACAGCATAACACGCTACACTTGCAGGATAACCCGCTACACTTACAGGATAACCCGCTATACTTACAGCCTAACCTGTCACACTTACAATATAACCCGCTACACTTACACTCTAACCCGCTACATTTACAATATAACCCGCTACACTTACAGGATAACCCGCTACACTTACAGCATAACACGCTACACTTACAGGATAACCCGCTACACTTACAGTCTAACCCGCTACACTTACAGGATAACACGCTACACTTACAGGATAACACGCTACACTTACAGTCTAACACGCTACACTTACAGAATAACCCGCTACACTTACAGTCTAACACGCTACACTTAAACTCTAACACGCTACACTTACAGTCTAACCTGCTACACTTACAAGATAACATCACAATTTGAGATACATTCACAGTCAAAAGCTGAGAAATGATACAAAACATACACATATTCACAGTCATATGCACATATTCACAGTCACAACTAATTCAGTTTTTGCACATACTCACATATTCACATATTCACAGTCATATGCACATATTCACAGTCACAACTAATTCAGTTTTTGCACATACTCACATATTCACATATTCACAGTCATATGCACATATTCACAGTCATAACTAATTCAGTTTTTGCACATATTCACAGTCACAATTTGAGATATGTAACAAATTTTAACAATGACCAATTTGAGATACGTCACAACTAATTTGAGATACATTCACATTCACATTCACAGTCACAATTTGAGATACATTCACAGTCAAAAGCTGAGAAATGTTACAAAACATACACATATTCACAGTCATATGCACATATTCACAGTCACAACTAATTCAGTTTTTGCACATACTCACATATTCACATATTCACAGGTTTTTGCACATATTCACAGTCATAACTAATTCAGTTTTTGCACATATTCACAGTCACAATTTGAGATATGTAACAAATTTTAACAATGACCAATTTGATATACATTCACAGTCACAACTAATTTGAGATACATTCACATTCACATTCACATTCACAATTTGAGATACATTCACAATCAAAAGCTGAGAAATGTTACAAAACATACACGTATTCACAGTCATATGCACATATTCACAGTCACAACTAATTCAGTTTTTGCACATACTCACATATTCACATATTCACAGTCATATGCACATATTCACAGTCACAACTAATTCAGTTACTTTGCACAAATTCACATATTCACAGTCACAGTCATATGCACATATGAACTCCCAATCTCCTATGTCAGCCCAAAAGAAGTTATCAAGCTAGAAGGTCCATATCAATACTTTTGTCTTGCACTGAAAATTGATGGGCTGGGGAAATCAGAGTCAAAAACATCAGAACCTCGCTCCGTATAATGTACAAAATCGGAATCCTCATCATCAAGATCCAGTGAAGATACCCATATTCCCATTCTATCAAAATCGCGAACAAACAAGGGTGTCTCCTCTTCTATCACCATATATTTACCTATTTCACATCTCTAGGCAAAATAAAATCTCTTCACTAAATTTTATCAACTGCAAGAATGAGGGATTCATATTCTACCATATACTACGGACAACCACTCTATGGAAAAAGAATAAAACTAAACTAAACAAATAAGATGCAAACTGAAATAAAAAAAAGAAGTAGCAGCACACACTGATAGAATACCAATCACTAGAAAACAGAATTTTGAGGAGAGATTACTTATAAAGAAGGGGGTGGAGGCTTGAGAGTGAGCCGCTGTCTGTCAGGTTGACCATTATAGGGGGATACGCTCTAGTTGAGACACTAAAGGAGATGACGACGTTAGTTGAAGTGTTAGGTGACGGCGGTGTTAGGTGATAGTAGCGGTAAGGCAATGGCGGTCTTATGTGACGGCGGCGGTTGGGCAATGGCAGCGGTCAGACGATGGTAGCAGTCAGGCGCCTGTCAGCATCGCGGCTGGAGTTCAAGACCTCGACGTCGGCAATGGCGACGGTGGTGGCGTGAAGAAAAGAATGGAAAAGTTAGGGCTTAAACTAGGACTCAGATTTTCCACTCAAATTGGACTAGTTGTAGAGGAATTGAAAGAGGAGAGAAGAAGGGATCCGATGGGCATCAAGAAAGAATGGAGAACAGAGAGAGAACAGAGGAAGAAGGGGGTTTTCTTCATTTTCTTCGGTTATAAAAAGGGCAAAGAAAGAACGGAGAGGAGAGAGAGCTGGTTTTGTGGAGATTGAGGGCGGGGCATTTTGGGATTTTTACTTGAGAAATGTATAAATACAAGATACACTAACTCTAAATTATACTATTTGGGTTTAGAGACAAATACATAAAGTTAATTGGGTTCAATGATACAAAAGAAAGTTGTTGGGTTTATAGATAAATCTGAGTAAAAAATTGGGTCTAAAAACAAAAAGCCCTATATTTTAAAGGGAAAATTGCTTCCAGCCCCCAAAAGCCAAGTGAACGTGCTTCCCACCCCAAGACTTGGTCAATGGGTGTTTTACCCCTAAAAATAAAGATTTTGTTCTTTGAGCTCCCAAAACACAAAACCCAAGACATTAAAACATGTGAAGACCATAATACCCTTCTCTCTCTTTTTTTTATTAAAATATGATGATAATTATTTTATTATTTTTCTCTCTCTCTCTTTATCATGATGTATCAAGATGATAGTTGAAATAATTGATGATGATTATTTTATTATTATTTTTTTATTTTCGTTGTTTGTATTGGGAGGTTGTTAAAGTTACGGGTTGATTGTTAAGGTTACGGATTGGTTGTTAAGGTTAATGGTTTGTTTTTAAGGTTATGAATTCTCTCTCTCTCTTTATTTTTTTTTATTAAAATATGATGGGGATTATTTTATTATTTTTGTTTTCTCTCTCTCTTTATCATGATGTACCAAGAGGATAGTTAAAATGATTGATGAGGATTATTTTATTATTTTCGTTTTTTATTATTTTGGTTTTTATATTGGGAGGTTGTTAAAGTTACGGGTTGATTGTTAAGTTTACGGGTTGGTTGTTAAGGTTAAGGGTTTGTTGTTAAGGTTATAAATCCTCTCTCTCTCTTTCTTTTTTTATTAAAATATGATGGGGATTATTTTATTATTTTTGTTTTCTCTCTCTCTTTATCATGATGTACCAAGAGGATAGTTGAAATGATTGATGATGATTATTTTATTATTTTCGTTTATTATTATTTTGGTTGTTTGTATTGGGAGGTTGTTAAAGTTACGGATTGATTGTTAAGGTTACGGGTTGGTTGTTAAGGATAATGGTTTGTTGTTAAGGTTGTGAATCCTCTCTTTCTCTTTCTTTTTTTTATTAAAATATGATGGGGATTATTTTATTATTTTTGATTTCTCTATCTCTTTATCATGATGTACCAAGATGATAGTTGAAATGATTGATGATGATTATTTTATTATTTTTGTTTTTTATTATTTTGGTTGTTTGTATTGGAAGGTTGTTAAAGTTACGGGTTGATTGTTAATGTTACGGGTTGGTTGTTAAGGTTAAGCGTTTGTTGTTAAGGTTATGAATCCTCTCTCTCTTTTTTTTATTAAAATATGATGAGGATTATTTTATTATTTTTGTTTTCTCTCTCTATTTATCATGATGTACCAAGAGGATAGTTGAAATGATTGATGATGATTATTTTATTATTTTTATTTTTTATTATTTTGGTTTTTATATTGGGAGGTTGTTAAAGTTACGGGTTGATTGTTAAGGTTACGGGTTGGTTGTTAAGGTTAAGGGTTTGTTGTTAAGGTTGTGAATCCTCTCTCTCTCTCTCTCTCTATCATGATGTTTATTTGATAATATGAAATGATTAAAAGGGGATTATTATTTTATTATTTTTGTTTTTTATTTTTTTTTATTTTTAGAATATTCGTTGTTAAGGATAATGGTTGGTTGTAAAGGTTATGCATTGATTGTTAAGGTTACGGGTTGGTTGTTAAGGTTATGAGTTTGTTGTTAAGGTTATGGGTTTGTTGTGTAGGTTACGAATTTGTTGTTAAGGTTACAGGTTTAATTGTTAAGGTTACGTATTTAATTGTTAAGGTTACGGGTTTAATTGTTAAGGTTAATAAAAAACGAAAATAATAAAATAATCCTCATCAATCATTTCAACTATCCTCTTGGTACATCATGATAAAGAGAGAGAAAAAACAAAAATAATAAAATAATCCCCATCATATTTTAATAAAAAAAGAAAGAGAGAGAGAAGGGTATTATGCTCTTCACATGTTTTAATATCTTGGGTTTTGTGTTTTGGGGGCTCAGAGAACAGATTCTTTATTTTTAGGGGTAAAACGCCCATTGACCAAGTCCTGAGGGTGAGAAGCATGTTCACTTGACTTTTTGGGGCTGAAAGCATAATATCCCGTCTATGCCACAATAATATTTATTTGAATAATGCTATAGTAAATCTCTGTATTATTTACTGTAGTATGAATAGTAATTCTTGGTCCTCTCATTGTTACAGAGGAGGAATAGATAAATTATTAATAGTGTTTTATCCGAATATATCTGTTTAACGTGGGTAGAGGCCGGCCCATTAATAACGGGCTAGATCCACGGCCCTCAAATTGAGGCCCATAGACAACTTCGTTTTTATTCTCTCTCGCGGCGAGCAGCGAAGAGAAACGACTCGCTTTTCGATTCGCGATTTAAGCAAGAAAAAAAGAAAAATAAAGAGAGAGAGAGAGAGAGAGAAAATTAATAGGAAAAAGAAAGCAGGGGAACGAGAAACTGGGAAATGGCAGAGTTGAGATCGGACTCTGCAATATCTCGCCGAGTCGTTCGCGCCTTCTTGGACTTCCTCAAGTCCGGTTCGTTTTCTTTTTTCGTCCGGCGATTTTTATCGAAAATTTGAGGGTTTTGTGTTAATTTCTAGGGTTTGGCTCGGTCTCGTACTGAGCGATACTTAGGTTTAGAGATTAGGTTAAATTTGTGTCAATCATTTCAAAAAGAAGGTCACGTTTTTATAAATGTTTAGATTTCTAGGGGTTTTTTTTTAAGTAAAAATTTCTAGGGTTTGGCTCGTTCTCACGGGGATACGATATGTGCGTTGGTTAATGCAAATTTGCAGAATGTCTTCAGTTGAGATGGAGTATGCTGTTGCATTTTTAAATCACTATTAATGAGCACAATATCATGGTTAAAATTGAAACTGCACAATGAATCTGAAGATATTCAGTATTTTCAAGTACTTCGTGTGTAGATTCAAACTCTTGGTGGAACTCGATTCCCCATGGATAACACATGTAGCATGAAAGTTTCGAGTTATTATACTCAAAAGTTTGTCTGTGATGCCTGTTTTAAAGGGTTATTTTCAAGCTACCCATGCTGATCCATTTTCCTAAATTGTGCTTGAAATACTTTTTAAGTGTTTATTTGTAATCAGTTAATGGTCCTTTAGTGGGAAGTTGACAATACAAACAACAAACAACAACAACATCAAAGCCTTTATCTTTATCCCAAATGTTTGGGATTAGCTACATTAATACTTCCATTCCATTCTATTATGAGACATCTCCTTCATTGAGTTAATGATTATCATATTCTTTTTAATTGCTTCCAATCAAGTTCTTTTAGGTTTACCTTTAAATCTCCTAGCTTCATTAATTATAATATTATCACTTTTCCTAACCGGTGCGCTAAGAAGTCTCCGTTATAAATGACCAAACCATTTTAGTCGATTCTCTCTCATTTTATCCTCAATAGGAGCAACTTCTAATTTACTACGGATATACTCAATTTTTATCCTATCTTTATTAGTGTATACCAAAAAGACCATCACAACATTCTCATTTCTGCTACAATCATCTTTTGCACATGTTTTTTTAAATGCTCAATACTCTGACCCATAAAGCATTGTTGGTCTTATAACCGTTCTATAGAATTTTTCCTTTAGTTTCATTGGTATTCTATGATCACATAAGTCTCTAGAAGCACTCCTTCATTTTAACCATCCCGAACTCCCGATTTGATTCGATGAACAACATCATCCTTAATCTTACCATCATGCCGAATGATTGATCCTAAATAGCGAACACGATTACTTTTAGATATTTTTGACCATCAATATGTACCTTAGGCTCTTTTCTTTTCTTACGTTTACTAAAAATACATCCCATATATTCTGTTTGTGTTCTACTAATTCTAAAACCTTTAGGTTCAAGAGCTTGTCTCCACCATTTTAACTTAGAAATATACCTCTTTTAGTTTTGTCGACTAACATTATATCATCCACAAATAGCATACACCATGAGATTTCATCTTGAATGTGTCTATTAAGTTGGTCAATAACTAATAAAAAAAGATAAGGACTCAAGGCTGAACCTTGATGTAAACCTATGGTAATAGGAAATGGTTTAATATTTTCTTCATTAGTTCCTACTCTCATATATATCTTTGAAATGGTTTAGTCTTTTCTTTATTAGTTTTTTCTCTAGTTGTTACTCTATCATACATATCTTTAGTCACATCAATATGTATACTAGATACATGTTTCTTGTTGACAATGCAAATGTAACTTAAATTCTTTAATCATATCAATATATATACTAGATACATGTTTCTTGTTGACAATGCAAATGTAACTTAAATTCTCATGGTCTCAGTTGATTTTTTTCATAGTTGTTCTTGTTTGCTAGCACATGTTCTCTATATCAATGTGTTATGTTTGTACACCAATTTTCTTCATCAGATTCAATTTAGGGTTAACATCCTCCATATTTACTCCTGTCTTGATCTTTGAGTTGTTTTCTATAGGACAGTCCAACCAGCCCCTGGCGTTGATCTTGAAGGTCTTGATGTTGCTAGAGAATGTTTGGAAGAGTGTTTTAAGCTCAATTCTTTTTCAAGTGATGACGGGGTACCACCTGGTATGCTGATTAAGTTGTTCTCTTCATTGGAAAATGGTGCACAATGTAAGGAAAAATCAACAGTTAGCCCTTTGATGCGAGAGAGTACATCATGTACAACCTCTTATTCTCATCAAGTCAAAGATTCCACTGATACCGAAGTCAAAGCATCAAATGTACGTTTTGCTTTCTTGCTTTGTTGGGCTTATCTCTTTTAATCAGGCTACGTGTAGTAGGACTTGAGATAACTGGTACTATAGTGTTCAAGTACTCTGACAATAAAAAGTCATTTGATTTATCTTTTCCTACCCATGCAACAAATAGAATGTACTGCCTAAACCATTTTGCTGAAACCCTATGTTGCTTGGATATGGGTACAGGTACGGGTATGGATGCCAGTATGGGTACATGACACATCAAATTTGTAAAAGACAAGGTACAAGGACACGACGATAGTAATATTTATAATCTATATGAGAACAAGAATGAAAATTAAAATTCCGATAATATTTTTATGTTTCTTTTATTATGTGGATTATAAATTGAAAAATCACAAGTTTTTGAACTAGACATCCAAACAATCCTTTAAAATCATAATTCTGAATTTGACCTATGTCCAACAGGTTTCAAGAAGTGGATGTGAAATGTAGGATATGTCCAGAAAATGTATGACAAATGTTTTACATTAAAAGATGTACTGTATAATTGAGTATATGCACAAATAATGTATGCATAAATGCAAGGAGTGTCCAAGGAGTTTGGGTATGGATACGGCTACGGGTACGGGTACATGTCGGGTACGGGTATGGCTTCAGATTAGAAGTACCCCTGTAACATAGCAGAGACATATAATTGGGAATTTAAACTGTTGATGTTGATACATATTTGGAACCCTTCCCTTAGAAATCTTAGGGGTTTGAAATAGTTTATACAATAATACAACAATATAAGGTAAAACCTTTCATCACAAGTACGAAGATCAAAGCATTTGATTCTAGGTAGGTAGGGCAAGGTTCTAATGGTGGCTATCATGTTGATAGTTATAATGTATAACAGCAATGAAGACGATAGCATAACAACAAAAATACCTTCTTCCTGAATTTGTGCACGTCTGTGTATTCAAGTATGCACAAATGATATAAACTGACATCTGTACTAAAGACCATTAATTTAATAAAAAGCATACAACAAGGATCCATTACATGCACATTGTGCAAATAAAATAATGATTAGTGTGTCTTATAATTGCTAAACAAGTTAAATGGTTACTAAGGTCTATGGTATCTTCTCTTCTCACAGAGAAGTCTTCCAACCATCCATCTTATTTCCTGCAATGTCATATGAGCCCTTCATTACGGAGTAGGCATTAGAATACCTTTCACATATGAGGTATTCAGATAGAATTTACACTTGGTGAACTTAATCGCAATATTGTATGAGAAGTGTATATACTATAAAATTGCTCTCCCTCTATGCAACTATACATTTATGCATGTACATATATGACGCGCGCGCACACACACAAAGACACACACACCTATACACACGAGCGCGCGTGCGCACACACATATATACACACTTGGTGAACTTATTCCTAATATTGTATGAGAAGTGTATGTAATATAAAATTGCTCTCTTTCCTCAACTATACATTTATGCATGTTCTTATGTGTTTGTCTGCATATGTATACACACGCTCACAGACACGCACATGCATGAATTATTTTTTTGTTAAAGTTATTTATGATGTATAGTCTTACTTTTTGTTAAAGTTATGATGTATAGATTCTCCTTGTATTTCTAAATTTAACTAATATTTTAAAATAATTTTCATCTAAATCTAACTATTAAATCTTGATCTGGTCATCCATGTTTTGCGTTAAATGAAAACTACCTTCCCCCCAATTTTACTATAAATGGTAGTGAAAGATTGGGAGGAAAAAACCCATAAAGAAGTGTTAAAGATTCTCTTCCTCATTCTGCATACTAAGAAAGTGCCTGAAATATACGAAGTTGTAGAAGTAATGTTATCCCTCATGTCATGTGGGGGATTCTGGCAATGTTGTAAATCTTGATTACATAATCTCCTTCCCACTAACCATGCTCAATGCATGCTGGTTTTAATTTCGCAAATACATATATGATTATCTTTTCCTCTTGACTACCTCTTAGTAAAGTACAATATGCTCAATGTGTGCTAGTTTTAATTTTGCAATTATGTATTTGATTCTAGCCTACCTCTGTCTTAGTAAGGTGTTAGCCCAAAAGTTCAAATTGTTCGGTTGCGGCTAATATGGCAAGCCAAGCAAACTTAACACTTGACAACTATTTACATAAGTATCATCTATATCTGGTTCTGTCATCGTATACACTCTTATATACTTGTATAGAATTGTTCCCTTACCAGGTTTGGAAAAGGTTGTTTAAGTTGTACTTGTGCTAATAACCTTTCAGCATCAGCCTGTTTATTTTGCTCTTTTTCAATGCTTATCCAGGTTGAAGATCAGGCTAGAGGCCCCTATGTCTTGGGTATGGAATCTATGGGTGTTAAATTTTATAGTAATTTTTGAATTATAAGCATGCCTTCCTTTATGATGTAACCATTCCCTTAGATGTAGTCCTTAATTTATTTTCTCTGTCAGTAATGTTGAGTTCAAATGGATATTAAGCTAATTATATTTTACTAAGTGGCTAGCTCTAGTCTCCTTAACTGTAATTTATTTGGCCTTTGGTTCAAATTACAAAACTGTATATTGTCTCTTTTAACTGTTGGCTAATATGTCAGGATGTAAGATGTCAGGATGTAAGTTTTAATGATAACATCAGATCTGGTTGATTGTTTTCTTTTCTTCCAACAAGCATGCTATATCCATCCCAAATATTTCTCGTTGAAGAAAATAGAAAGTTCACAGTTTAATTGAACCTTTGTGGTGGTGCTAAAAAAATTCTCTATTGTTGCCATGTGCTTATTAAGAGGTCATACTTGCTATTGAGAGACAAATGGAAAACACTTATGAAAATGCCAGCGAACAATGGATATCAACAGAAAGGGAGCGAGTGAGGGTTCTAAAATCTCGTATTTTGGCAATCAATTAAGAGCTTCACAGGAGGGAGGAATGAAGCAGGTTGCCAAAAGCATGAAAAAATTCTGCCTGTTTCTTGAAAATATAGTATCCTGCCTTTTTGTCAACTGAAAAAACATCAGACTAGAAGGCTGTGTATATTCTCACGCTTCATTTCAATCTGAGAGTGTCTATTTCATATGCTAGTTCCTGTTGTATTAATTAATACATCTTATTTGATATTAGGTAAGATGAAATTTCTAGTTTTAGCTCACCCAAAGCAGCACTAGAATAGCTTTTCTTAAATAGGGAATACAGTTTAAAGGGAAAGTTTAGACTGACTCGAGGTAACTACTAACTAGGATATAAACTTAAAATTATTACTGAGCATGTCTAAAAATTCTACTTAATTGACAATTTACTTGTACATACTTGCACAAGCACATGCATGCATGTTTTCGTACATGGACACACATATCGGCATATGTACAAGCACATGCATGCATGTTCTCGTGCATAGACACACATATCGGCATATGTACAGAGTACACTTATGCACATGCAGGCATGTACACTTGTATGACATGCATTTGTGTTATTCACCCACTAAATGTATAATTTATTTATTTATTATTTTTTTTCTGGTCCAGCCTAGCAGATTGTTTCATTAGAGAATTGAAGATCCATGGTTGAAACTTCGGAAAATTATGATGTTTGTTGAAGTAAGACTGTGTTATTCTAAAGTTCTAAGCCAAATATCCTTTTGCATTATTTGTTTTTTGTAAAACTGGCAATATACTCCCCAGAAAAAAGCCAGTGTACAATTAAATCCCATAATTCATAGACTGACCTTAAAATACAGTTCATGTAGTATCCTAAGGGTCTTTGTGGTTGTTAAAGCTTCTGATATTCTGATGTAACATGCAAATCCACCTTTCATTTGTTAATAGATTTTAATGATCGATGCAGCAATACAAAGAATAAATGAGCTATAATTGCAGAATAATTTCACATTGGGAAATGTGAAAATACATTGCAGTTATCCTCGGATGTTTCTTTGAGCTGTTATTCTTATGTTTCTATCAATATCAGTTATATGTCTTTGTTTGTTGTGTAAGTTTGTCATCTTAAATCCGCTAATAAACATTTTTGTATGACAGAAGGAGGGTGCAGGGATGAACTATTCTCGAAGTTTTTTGCTGCACTCGATAAAATCAACTTCTTTAAAACATCACCCAATGGAGTTGAGGATTCTGCCCAAGTAGCAAAAGCAACAGAGTTATTTAATGATGTATTAATGGTAATGGCATCTTGTTTACATCATGCATTTAATCGTCTTTCTTTTATTGCACAATTATGGTGCTCAATACATTCATGTTTTCTGGAAACTACATGATTGTGGAATAAAGCATAAGCAGCATGGATTTAAGACCTTTGCTTGAATTGATGTTGAGATCCCACTTAAATTTGCAAAACATGACATCCAATTTAGCCTATTTAGGTTAACCCATGATCTAAAAGAAATAAGAAGTGGTGATATATGTAGGTCTAATAGTCTGGCCCGACCCTCTATTTGACTATTTTAGACCTGTTAGCTTGTTGGACACAAGGAAGTTGTTCAACATAACATGACATTGATATTAAGTGGTTCCTGCTTAATAGAATAATAGGTAGAAAGAGAGATGATATTCTATCTATATATGCATACGCAGATTGTTTGAAACTGACCTGGATTTCTCTGTTGCTAGGAGATGGAGAATTGTGAAGCACAGACCATAAACCTTAACAATCTTGCTGAGATGTTTAAATTGAAAGGTACTTCCACTAATAAACTTGTCTCTGTTGGTCTGGCTGTGAGGCCTCTTCATTATAGACTTTGTTTTGTATGTGTGCTGTTTGTATACTCCTGTTGGAACTGCATCTATAACACCATGTATCATGAGTTGCTGCAAGTCAACCCATGTTACATTTGTTTGGTTTCTGGTATCTCATGCTGTCGTTTTTAGCATTCTACTGTATGATTATTTGTAAATTATGTTGTTAAATCATAGTAAATGCTTGTGAGTTAACTTATGCCTACATTAGTCGGTGTCTGGTGGTGAGCAACCGATCAGCAACTAAGGAAGGTATAAGTTAACTCATTGGTTTGCAACAGATCCCTTTCTTTGGAAGAATCAAGGTGGCATCAAAACAGAAGAATTTACCAAACCTAATCACATAAAAAGGGACTGACACCAAACTTACACCAAAATAAAGTTTTATGTTCTATTTGGACGGTAATGCTGTCTCGATCAATGACTCGAGAGAGCGATGTCATGAGCAAGATCAATATAAAATATAAGAAAAACTCAGAACTTTTACAGAGGGGGAAAAGGGGTAAGGAGATACTCATACAAGATGATTTTCCTCATCTAAACAGCTGATCCATAACCAGAAAAAATGGACAACATCTATCAGCAACACAACAATTCATTGGTAAAAGGCCCAAAACCTTGAATCTCAGTGGATCCTTTTGGATATCAAATCACGTCATGCTAGCAGGAAGAGAAACCCCTTACTAGATGAAATTATTGTCCGTCTTTGAATGCAATAATTATCTTGGCCCCGCAAATGGCTGTTGTCTATCTTCTATAAGATCACAGGCCTGAAGAGATGAGGTTCTCTATTCATTGTTTTCCTTTTTTTATATACAAGTGTTATGCCCTCGCTCGCACAGAAGGGTCTGATTTCTTTGATTTGTGTATCGGAATTTTTTTAGTCTGATAAGTTTAATTTTCCCATCTTTGCATAGATTGAGAACTTTGGATTTTAGGCTTCCAACTCTTTTGGATCCTTCCTTCATCCCAGACAATAGCACCACAGTTATGGCAGTTATAGTTTGGTGTGCCAAAGTTGAGCATGTCGTTTCTTTTTTCGTTTTTCGCCTGCGATTTAGGGGCTGTTTGGTTAATTTCCCAGAAACCAACAAAAAAAGAAACCTGACAATGAAACCATCTAAAAAGATTTCAAATGATTTCCTTGAAAAGAAATCCAGAAATGGTTTCCCTAGATTTGGAGTCAAATCAACCTATGGGAGGGTGCCACCTCACCCTCCCTCTTGGTTTTACTTGGTTTCAAAGTGGGGACCAAACTTAAGAAAAAGAAAACTTTATAGAAGTTTATAGTGTTGTTTTCTTGTTTTTTGGGCAATTAAACATACTTATGTAACTTTGTAATCTCAAGCATATCAAATAACACCTCACATTCAAATATTGTCGTTTACTCATCAATGTTACATTTATTTCGGTTTCTCCTTCTCATCTCTTGCTTTGTTATACTTTCTTTTGTACTTGAACTATGGAATGTGCTTATTTGTTTATCCTTTATTGCTTATGTCTCAGCTGTAGGAAACCAGTTTAATGAGAAAATTATCGAGGATGATAAATAGTGATAGGAAAAAAAAGAAAGAAGATATAAACAACTACACAGAAAGGACTGATTCCTAGTAATGCTCAACTAGTTTCTTGTAGAATCAGTTTATTTTCTAACATGTGAAAAAGGGAGATATCATATTTAAGTTATGTCACGCTCTCTAAGTTGTTCAGTAGTAAAATCTAGGAAGAGGGATCTCATAAAAACATCAATGTGATAAGAAGCAATTGGTCTATAATAATCCTTAAATACTTAGGTATTAATGCGGCTCTACATCAGGACATGGCAAAAAAGATACAGCAATATGAAGCATTGAGACACAGATTCTTGTACAAATAGGATATAACTCTGAAACATGCTCCAATGAAAGTATCTCACATAATAGCTAGTGAAATTGATTGCATAGATTTAAGAAACATAATGTCAGGAGATCAATCATAGAAAAAAAAAAGAAATAACGAATTCAAGAAAATATCAGTTTGCCTCATAACATTACTGACGACAAGAAATTTCATTCATCAATGACCAATGACCTCACATCACAGTTTGACTAAGGCATACGGAATTTCCATAAAAGTTCTTATCTCAAATAATTCATAAGAATGAATGACCATTATTCACAATTTCATGACCGTAACATCATAATTCAATTATCTAAAGAGGAGCCAGAGTATTTTGACATTGCCATCAACATAAATTCATATTATTTTACAACAAGTATCCCAGTTCTCTAGTCCTCTTCCCCACATTGCATTCCCGCCTTCTTCCTCAGATCACACATTTTCTTAACCTTTATTTCCCTCTTGTTATTGTTCTTTGTTTATCTTTAAGAAAAGGGATCTTGGTTGATATGCTTGCTATTGAATTGATTAGAATTAAATTAATCGAAAAGGAAAAAGATGTAGCAACAGGATGAATGTAGGAGGCGGTAGTGGGTAGGCTTTGATGGGTCAATCTCAGATTCAATTGGGAACATGCAAATCTTGCAAAGATTAAATCTTTTTGAAAATTGGTTGGCGAGTACCTCATTCATCATCGTAAATGGCATCGGCAAGGGGAAGGCCCCTCATCGATGAAAATGGAGATCTCGGCCTCAGCTACAATTGGAGTCGAATCAGGGGAAAGAAAATTGAAGTGTGCGGGTGAGGGCTTCATTGTCACGAGTGAGGGATTTGGTGAGGTTGAAGAGGGAGGATTCCGGTCAGAAGGATCATGGGTCAGGTGACATTAAAAAAGCAGCTGTCTGCCTAGTGATTTGGGTTTTTATCTCCTCAATTGGTCGAGATACTATGTTTGGCAGTTTCTTTGCCAGTACACATGACAGTTTTTGGCGTGTACACGTGGCAGTTGTTCGTGCTTCAAAGACTAGTTTACCAATTTCCCATTATATATAAAGGAGAGAGAACTTTAAGGCAACAAAGCATTGGGTGTAAGATATTTCTCTTTTGGGTTTTAGAGTATTTTGGACAAAGAAAAGAGGTTGGATTGCCAGGGATTTAAAGACATTTGAAGCAAAGGAAGAAAACTGAGGATACCAAGGAGAAGTAGATTGAAGACAGGAGCAAGTTGTATTCTATGATCGAAGAGGAAAAGTTGAACATGTCAGGGAGTCATGTGGGTGTATCTAGGTCTTTGAATAGGTCTTTAAACGGAAGTTTAACACAACACTTTCCAGTTTGGTTTACGGCCGGTTTGGTTTGAGTATCTCAAACCTTACCTGAACCAAATAATTGAATTTGCTCAATTTTTCAGTATCAAAATGAACCGGTGGTTGTGGTTTGATTCAATTCTAATTGAATAATGCTTTCCTGTATTGGTGGCAACAGAAGTCACAATGAGGCTATGTACCACGGATACAGGTGCGAACACAGAGACGGGTGCAGATACGAGACACGGTAGAATAGTAAAAGTTGGGATACTAGGACACAACTACATACATATTAAAATTAATAACCTATATGAGATCGATATTGTTTTTAATTCACACGTTATGAGAACTAAAATCCTTATACCATTGCTATGTTTTCTTTTAGCAAGCATATTATAAATTGAAAATCCACTCATATTTGAACGAGATGCACAAAAGACCCGTTAAAATCATGCTTCTGAACTTGATATGTGCTAAAAGCCTAAAACTAACCTGTCCAGAGTCCAATGACTTGCATAAATTTGAGGTGAAGTGTACGATATACATCTAAGCAGTGTATAACATTTTTTTAATTAAAACTTGTGTTATATTATTGAGTACACGTCTAAATGTATGTATATATTGTTATATTATCGAGTACACGTCTAAATGCATTAAATGTATGTATACATTCATTAAGTGTCCGAGGAGTGTCAGACACGGATGCAGGAGCCTAGATGCGGTGTCTGGGTAACCTAGCAATTAGGCAATCCATTTTTTCCATAAAAAGAAATATTAGGCAATTCATTTTGCTCCATGCGTTAGTGAGCTCATGTGATGAACAGCTAATTCAAACACTAGATTTTTTTTCTAGTTTCAACAGTTACTTCAGCTAAATAATATTGAGTTTTGACTATCCAGACAATCATTAGTGTTCATCTTCTTTCAATAACTCATCTAATCTCTTTGTTACCAAACTTTATTTTTGTTCGGTTGTTTTTTTCTGGATTGTAATTATGTGATCTTACAACCATTGGAAGGCTTGTGATTGGGCTATCTTCATGGATCCATGAGAGTCTTGCTTCTTTTGTGTTGCATATGCAAATTGCATAGACTTATCCCTGTTCATTGTTTGTTTTTCCCCTTCATTTGCATATCTGATGTTCATAGATCTAGAAATATACTGCTACTGAGATGAAACAAATTGTTATAAAATGTACATATGTCAGTAACTTTCTGTGGTTATCAGGTAACCGGTCCATGCAGTCGAAGTCATACTTAGAAGCTATTGAACTATATACCTGCGCCATAGCACTTGATGAGAGGAATGCTGTTTACTACTGTAACAGGTATTTCATGGAAACATTAATCAGACAAGCACAACTTACATTTGGAACTCATCACTCGTTTGTATTCAAAACTTAAACTGAACGTAGATAAGTGCTGATTGAAGGATATCCTGTCAGGAAAATAATACATTGCACAATCTGTTCTAATTTTTATGATTTCTTATGTCCTTCGTTCTAGATTTAAGATCAATTTTTTCCTATCATGTTAATGTTTGCAACATAGAAATCTACAATGTTGTATGTTTTCTGTTTATTTCCAGAATGGAATTTGATAAATTGGTGTCTGCATCTCTCTTTTGTGTACCATATACTATTTACTTCATTTCGTGACTTCAGAAGCATTAACGTATATAGGTTGAAGTGATTCCATAATTGTCTTTCAGGGCTGCAGCTTTCACTCAGATAAATGGGTATGCTGAAGCAATTCAAGACTGCGTAAAGTCAATTGAGATCAATCCAAGTTACAGCAAGGCATATAGCCGCCTTGGTCTTGCTTATTATGCCCAAGGGAACTATAGTGATGCTTTAAAGGGTTTCTTGAAAGGTTATTATTTATCTTCTTTGCTATATACATTTCTGGACTAAATCTGATTCAAAAATTTCAACCTTCATTTGACTGCATCATGAAAAACTTTAAACCCGAACTCCAAAGTCTGGATGTGTGTATTTAATCTTTTTCGGTCTGCAAGTGATTGTTTTGCCTCCAAGTTTAGTTCTACTTGATGCCAACAAGGAGATACTTATTGCACAAGTTCTCTATGACGCTGCTTCTTCATACTCTTCTCCATGATTTAATCTTAATGTTCCTGAAAATTTGTTCTTGAAATTTATCCATTTTCATTAAGTTGCATCATTGGATCCTCTCTGCCTTTCCCTAGAAATTTGTAAGCAAGGTTTAAATTGACCACAGCCCCCAAAAATGCCCTCGTTTTTCTTGGTTTCTTTTCCAATGGGAGAATTCAGTCAGTTTTCATGAGTGACTTGTGTGCGTCTGTAGTACACAAATAAGTGAACCACAACTGCAGATACAGGCACAGGTAGTCTTGGCCCCTCTGTGAAGGTATGATAGCTATTTGGTGATTGAACCTGAAAATTCACACTACATCCAAGATTGCCTATGTCATTGATTTTAGCAGATTAACACGCACACGTGTCACTCAGTAATATGGCGTCTCGGCCCCTTCAGAAAACTAATGGTAGGAAATTGAAATTAAATCTGTTACTGTACCGTTGATCTATGGCGTAGGCTAAGCCCCTAATTCCCATTTAAATCTCATGATCTACAGCATGCATATAAACCCCTACTTCCGAAGCATCCATTGATCCGTGTCACACGTACAAGTCCCAATGCAAATCAAATGTTTTTGACTTTCCAGTATATGGGTAGCTGAAAAGTGACAAGGTTCAGCTCGACGTTGTACAATGTTATAGTTCCAATAAAAATTGTTGTGCAATGGGTTCACAGTATTTAAATCATGACATGCCCTATTTCTGTTCTTTCACCATGCTGATCCTACTCAGAATTTCCTTGCTATTGCTGTGATATATCTGGTTGGTTCTTCCTCCATGATAGTTATATTGTGTGAATACATACATAAGTTACCTGTGAGGAGCTTCTTCATTTCTTTTCTTCATTATGATTCTATATGATTATTACTCTTGAGGCTTAAACTAATGGACTTCCTTCCTATGCCTCCTGAAGCTTAATATTCTTACTAAATATTCAGCTTGAGCTAAACACCTTTCCTCAATCATTAACATTGGTGAAGAATTCCAAAAAAATCATCTGGATGCTGACTACTTTTCACTTGTGTGAAGCTTTGCAGTTGGATCCAAATAATGATTCAGTGATTGAAAACATTCGGGTATTGCTAAAAACTCTTGTGTTTTGAATGCGTTCTAGATTGTGTTTGATTGCTTTTTAAGAGTGCTGTTAGGAGCAACCTCTCTCTCACAATTTCTGAACACAAGCACACGCTACAGAAGCACGTGTATGCATGGATGGGTGTTCTTGGGTGCTAGTTTTTTATCTGAACGACTGAACTTATGCCGATAACTCTGCAATGTAAATCATAGGTAACACAACAAAAACTGAGGGAACAACATCAACAGGCAGAAGCTGCTCAGGTTTTTTTTCCCTCTCTCCTTTGATGATATTTTTTTTCACATCTAAATGCTTCAGCATTGACAGGATTTTCTTTTTGATCAGCGAGGAACTTTTGAGTCCCTTCACTAATTAATTTCTGTTTTGGGTATTAATATTATGAGTCTCAACTGGATTTGCCTTATCTTCTGTTTGAAGTCTACTTAAATGGCCAGTAAAAATTGGTTGTAAGAGCTTAGGATGTGGGCTTCAGGTTTCACAGCAGGAAACTATATTTTATCCTAACCATATTTTGCTCAGTAACCATATCTTGCTCTGATTTCCTTGAGTATGAATTTGGCACCAGCTCATTGCGGCGTATGCCAATTCAGACTGGCTTATTTCAGACAGGTAATAACCATTGTTTTAAATATCCCCGACATGGCCCGATATATCCCCCGATATATCCTTTTACAGGGCTTGCCGCAACCGATATGGTCTTTAAATATCCTTTACCGTTTTTTGGCTATTTTGAGTGATAAATCCCCGATATGACCGATATATTAGCCGATATGTGGACCAATATATCTTTTTATATAGCTTGTTGCAAAATAATATACCGTGTTTGGAATTTTTGGGCGAGATATCAAGATTTCCCCATTATATAAAATGACATTTTGCCCTAAAAAAAGCAGATCGAATGTTGCAACGTTGCTTTGCACTTTTGTTTGTTTTAGAAGGTTGATTAGTGATCCTAAACATATATTATTCATATTTCGTATGATTAAATTTCATTGCATATGTTGAGATTACATTTTAATGCATTATACTATGCATGCAAACATTCATTATGGCGTTCCGATATTTACCACATATCCCCGATATTTCCCCGATATCCGCAATCCGATATGAATTTTGGCCATCCGATATTTCCCCGTTATCCGATATTTAAAACCTTGGTAATAACTACAATTATCTTTAACCTAAGTCAGAGTGAACTAATATTCCTCCATACCAAAACTTGTATTTTTCTCACTAAAATAAAGCAGCTGACACTCTGATAGCACTTGAAAGATCATTCATTTTATACAATATCATTCAATCCATCTTTATTTTTCATGAGACAAAATAGACCTATTATGGGATAAAAAGCTCCTCAAAAAGGATGTGAGCAGGGTAGTAATTAACTTTAACCTGAGTTTGGAAGTGCAAGATGCCATTTACACTACAAAACACCCTCTATCTATACTACTATATTAAAAACCTAGCGATAGGAAAACTTTGAAGGACTTGAGAAAATTTCTCTTACTAAAGATGAGTTGAGGACAATTTGGTCATTTCACATCATTCTTCTATTTTCTCTTTCTTTATTTCTAGTAATTTCTAAAGCATATTATAGCATTTACTAATTAAATACCTATTACATTGTACTGGTATATTGGCACGTGCAAATGCATGTGCAAGTAATATTAAATTGCTATCTTAGGAGTTTTCGATGCTGCATGTTAATTATGATATGATCATTTAATGCACAATTATAGTTTCTTTTGTAAAAATATTGATTAAAATAATACGAATTTATTTTAAAAATATGTATATCTTTTATGCATCTAAAAAATTATTAGTGTATCCTTCATTTTGTTGAATGTAATGAAATTGAGTTTAAAATTCATTCACATAATAATTTATTTAGCGCTGGAGGATATAAATAAATCACATTCTATTTTACTTATTTTATGAAATTTTTTGTTTCTCAGTTAACTTTATATTACAGCAACAAAACCTATTATACCTAAGACAATCATTCAAATTTTGTAATTTTATTAACATAATGAAAAGAATTTTTTAGTTAGTAAAAGAAATTAATGAAATAGTAAATACGTGTTAAATAAGGATCTTATTTATAACATGTTACTGCCTGGTTCACATATGTTGCATTTTTATTTTCTTAAATTATATGACTTTCAACAAAGCCATGCATGCAATTTTAAATTTGAGAAGGAGATGGAGAAATGAATATAATGGAACCCTCTAGAGAATGGGAAATGAGATTGATTTCGAAAAGAGGTGGAAAAATGAAAAGTAATAGAACCTTCTAGAGAGAGGGGAGTCTAGAGAGAGATGAAGCCCACATCACTACGATGGTAACAAATGACTAAACTACCCTTATCTTTTATTAAAATGACCTCCAATTCCACATGACATTTATAGTGAAGTTCTTTTCCATGTAAGTAAACACAATAAAGCAACAATAAAAATTTCAATATATTACAATATAAATATTATTAATAGTGTATATCTAAATAACTTAGCTTCAAAATAATTAAATAAAATAATCTGAAGATAAAATATGGGAAAAAGACTCTTCTTAATGGCATGTATAGGAAAATTACGTTATTACTCAAATTGAAATATGCAAATATCGCATATTAAATGAATAAATATCATCAAAAGATCTTAGAAATATGTATGATACTTTGGGTATTGTAATGACCTTTTTATATGAAAATTAGAGTAATTAAGTTTTACTGTTGGTTGCATGTGCATGTCCATTTGCATGTGCCGTAACGCTAGCCCTAATCATAATCTTTTTGCTAGTAGTCGAGCTGAGTATGCATCTAATTGAACTCTGCTGGATATTAAGAGAGCGCATAACTTGTTTCTTAACATTTTATTTATTTATTTATTCCGTCTCTACAGAACGCTGGGTCACATCATGGGCAACATTCATTTTCATTTTCCTTTGATGCTTCCAACCCTCAGTATCCTGGCCACAGTGCCTCAAATTCATTCTTTTCATTTCGTCCTCCAACTCCACCGCCTCCAGAGTCTCCTGCTCCACCCCCGCCTCCAGAGTTTGCAGCTCCACCCCCGCCTCCAGAGTTTCCTGATACATCTCAGTCCAGTACTCAATCAGCAGGATCAACACCCGAGACCACCCCATTTCCAACTTTTCCCTTTAACGCATCCGTTCCAGAGGTTGGCGATATATTCAGAGCAGCTACAGAAGCAGCAGCTTCTTCGGCACCTCAGTTTGCTGAAGTTTTGAGGAACATGGGTTCCCCTGCCCAGGGGCACCAGAGTCATGAGAGAAGACCTGATGGGCCTGAGATTAGAACGGATGAACCGCCAAGCTTCAGCTTTGGAGAAGCACCACAGCATGTACAAGATGTTTTGAGGTCTGTGATGGGGATGTTCTCTTCACAGCACGGATCACAGCAAGACATGCACAGAGGTCTCGTATCGAACTGGTTCACTTACTTTTTGCTCTATACTATTTAGCATAAATTACAGAAAATCCCCCTTAGGTTTTGAAAGTAGTGACCCTTTACACCTTATCTTACTACAAAATTAGTTTGCATGTAAAAGTTAATTTATATGCGTCCATATAAACGTATATGATTATTATATCGAAAATTGATGAATGCATCCAAAAGTAGACGATTATTTGACTAGAGATAGAAACTGAGAGTGGTCAAGTGTCACTTCTAAAACCTTAGGGGATTTTCTATCAATCATGCAAGCCTTGGGGAAATTTAAGTAATTTGTCCCATATTATAAAACTTTATCATGTTAATCGAACTTGTTTTGTTCCATTTTATAGGTGATAATGGAGCTTAAAGGACAATCTCTGTTCTTTCCCCCCCGTTACTTGTTTTGCTTCATGGGTTGCATGCTTGTTGAAATATTGGCTATCTTTAGACTTATTGCTCGTTTGTATTGAGTTTGACGACTTTAATGATGTTAACTTCAGTAATATGGCTGAATAATTGAGTATCTTCTGCGTAGAGGCTGAAGCCTCGGGCACTGTATATACCTGTGAATGTAAAGATTTAGGACTTTTTTCAATTTTAGTCGCCTGAATCTTTCGGAATTTTGAAATTAGTTCCCAAAATCTTGTTTACTTTGAAATTAGTCCTTCAGTAGTCCCCCACATCTTCATATTTTGAAATTAGCCCCTCAATCTTGTAAACGCTTTGAAATTAAATGCCCAAAACTTCATATTTTTAAATTAGCCCCCCAAATCTTTTAAGCGCTTCGAGATAAATCCCCCAAAATCACTAAAGAAATTGATAATTAGGACTTGTTTCAAAATATTTAGTAGATTGCATGACTAATTTTGGAACACTTAAGATTTAGGGGACTCGTTTCATGATATGATTGTTAAATTTTTAAACCAAGATTATATTATATTGTTAAATAAATACCTTTGTTTTTCTAAAGAAGTTGATTTTTTAATAGTATTTAAATTCTTAATTGAAAATTATTGCTTATTTTTTGGGGGGGTGGGGTGGGGTGGGGTGGGGGGG